AGTTTGTTGCTGTTGTTGCGTTTGCGGTTGCTGCTGTATATACTTTTGCAAAATAATGTGCTGGGTACTTTGCTGTCCCCCCTGATTCTGTATTGTAATACCATGTTGAGAAACGGTTTTAGGTCTCACAAAAACAACTTGTTGAGTTGCTTTGTGCTGTTGAATATTAGCCAATTGATTAGGTGGGACAGTAGTAACAACAACAGCATTTGCACCAGCTGACGTGGTAATTGTTTTAATAACGTCATTATGAGAAACTTGTGGAGAAGAAACTATAGTTTGCGCAACCGTTGATATCTGAGCTTGAGTTTGCGTGCTTGTGACTGTTTGTACCGAAGTGCTTGGTTGTGATTTTACAATTACTTGCTGTGTTATTGGATTTGATGACTGGATCTGGATTTGTTGTGGCTGAGTTGTTTGTACAAGCACTTTTTGTTGTTGGGCTTGTTGTGCTTTTTGTTGTTGCTGCAACTGAATTTGTTTCATTTGTTGTAATTGCTGAAATTGAAGGGGCTGTAATTTTTGCGATTGAAGTCTTTGAGGTAATTGAATTTGTTGTGAGACTTGAGGAATTTGCTGAGAAGTATTTTGTGAAATTTTTGAAATTGTTGCCTCTTGTGAATTCGAGTTTAAAATGTTTATATTTATACTAATTGGTGTACCCATTGAGCTGGAAGAATTCCCTTGCGTACTTCCAACTATAGTAGAAGGTGTTGGTGTAGATACTTTTTCCCTTGGTTCATCAAACCCAATTATACTCGCTAAATCTGAGGTAGAATGTGATTGTTTTACTGTTATCGTAGCAAACTTTGTAGTGTCTATTTTTAATAATCTAGGGTGATATCTTTCAGGGTTAATTATATCTTTTTTTCTAAAGCAATCCATTATATAATCTGGTGTAATAAGTATGACCGAACCTTTAGGCAAAGATAAAGCTTTGTCGTACGCAGGACCTCCAGCTCTACCACATATTAAGTGCGTAGTTTTAGACGTAAAATGAGAGCTAATGGTACCTCCAAAATAAGTAATCAAAGCTGTTAACTGTTTTTTATCGTGCAAATTAACATTGCAAACAGCTGCATTTATATTGGCAAATAAGGTATTACATATAGGATTGTATGCATTTTCATGAGCTAGGCGACCTAATTTTGCAGAATCCAAAATCCATTTTTCATGAACAGCTGTTACGGAATAAAGGTCTGTAACCAAGTTTATTTCTTCCTCATTAAAATTACTAGCGCATATTAAATGTGTTACGAGATCTGAAATATAGGCACGACTTTGAGCTCCTCCCCGTTTTAATAAATTTTCTAGCTAAAATGTTAGAGAGAAAAAAATTACATTAGTATAATAATTCTTTTGCAAAAAAAATTTAATTAATTCTATTGAAACACAGATATGCGTAATAATTATGAAAATATTACACCTACAAAATACAAATAAAGCTAAAGAATTTTTTAAAAACCATTATAAATTTATAAATTTACATTTCCAAAAACTTTAAAATTTTAAAAATGTAAGTAATTTGCAAAATATTAAAGAAATTAGCAATAAAAATTAATTTTAAGCTTACGTTGTCGTCGAGATTTCCAATTACTAAATATTTGACATTAGCGAAAAGATTTTCAGGAACATTATATTTTGCCATTCCAAATTTTTTAAATCTCTTAAAAACTAAATTACACAAATGCACATTTTTCAAAACAAAAAACAAAATAAGAATTTTTTACTTAATAATTAAACAAAATTTAAACACTTATTATAAACGCTGTGTGAAAAATAGTCACAGGAAGCGCGTCTGTCTGAAATTGTCAACACATTCTTGCCATATATTAAAATATTTTAAGGATTACATCTAAGTTTATGAATTGTAATTAAAAATTTATGACAACTTTTGAACAAAATTTTATGCAGCGATTTATTGTAAAATTATGAATCAATCAGTATTTTCTAATAGATATTTCACATTTCCAATAAGATTACTCATTTTTTCAATTGGATTTTTGCATTTTTTCTCAAATTATCGATTGAACGTCTCACTTTCAAAAGCAAAGTGAATAAATTTTGCATGCATTCTAGTAAAAACGAGATACGCAGTACCAAATAACATTCTTCTCACTCGAATTTTTGCATTATACAAGTATATGATATTTACGATCAGGCCCTAAAAGTAGGTACCATGAAAATTGCGTTTCAACTAATTAAAAATGAATGACGTACATAAATATAACTGGCATACATCAATAATTTAATTTCTATTTATAGATATACATATATCACAAGATTTAGCTGCCAATAACATATACGATAAAATTTAGATTAAATCTGCGACAAAGTCATACCTGCTTGCATATGTAAATTTACTTTACATTATCTGTGCCATCTGTGGAGGATTAGATATTATGTCAGAATTTAATATTTTTGCTATTTGCAAAAATTTTAACCAAAATAAAAATCAGTTGATCGCTGTTGAAAACTTTCAAAAAGAATTTAATTTTACTTTTAAAAAATCTGACAGTAAATTTGATGAGAATATTATTTGTAGAAGTTTTATAAAAATGTCGACTGACGGACGAAAGACGGGTAAACGGACGGATGGATGGACAGGCTGAAACTAATAAACACTTTTTTTTTAATTTTTTTGGAAAAGTGCTAAAAATGTCAAAATTGTAGTAATTATTTACTTGCATATTTATGATATTGAAATAGTTTAGGTAAATAATTTGGTCATGGAACATTTTTTAGATATGGCAGCATCACAACTGGCAGCGTACAGAATTACTTTTTGACATTTATAAAGCCATCTGGTTATGTACAAAGGCACTATATATACCGCGACTGACAGAAATGATGATTTTGTTATGTCAAGATTTAAACTATACTAAACACTTACGTACACACTACACGCATCTGTGCACAGTACCACAGCCTTAGCAAGATCTCTGACGTTGATAACTAATCAAATGTTAATTTAATATTGAAGTGATACTGACCTGACATTTTCTTGGACTTTGGAATTTTTTATTGCTTTCTAATTTTGTGCACAATGTTGTCTAGTTCCCGAAAGATTTTAAGCAATGGAATTGTAGGTATATTTTAAATATAAGATGAAATGAAATATTCACATTGTTTGTATGTTATTCTAGATAAAACGTTTCAAGAGCACACTGGTTTTGGCAGAACACAATAATGAAACACTTAATCCCATAACATTAAATACAATCACTGCAGCTAAAAAAATTGGTGGCGATGTTACAGTCCTAGTTTGTGGGACTAATTGTGAAAACGTAATTTCATTCTAATTCATATATATATATAAGTACATTTGTTTTATAAAAATAATATTTAAGGTATCTAAAGCTGTATCACAAGTTGGCATATCTAAAATTTTAGTTGCTGAGAGCCCCGCTTTGAAAGGATTTACTGCGGAATCAGTTTGTCCTGTGATTTTAGCGGCGCAAAACCAGTTTAAGTTTTCACACATTTTAGCTGGCGCCACGGCCATAGGAAAAAATGTTCTTCCAAGGGTTGCTGCAAAGCTAGATGTATCTCCTATCTCTGAAATAATTGACATTAAATCTGAAGGTATTGACTTAAATTTTTCAATAATGAAAGTAAGTGTATTAAATTGCAAAAATTATTTAGACACATTTGTTCGTACTATTTATGCTGGAAACGCTATTCTAACATTAAAGTCAACGGATCCCGTCAAAGTTATAACGGTACGAGGAACTAGTTTTGAAGCATGTAAGGATAGCGGAAATCCATCATCAGAGAAATTATCTGTTGATATAAAAAATGACTTATCCGAATTTATATCACAAGAACTGAGTAAAAGTGATCGCCCAGAATTGGCGTCTGGTACGTATCTGTATTATCTATATATAGAAAACATGTTTAAATTTTATATATTTTTTAAACAGCTAAGGTCGTAGTTTCTGGTGGCCGTGGTCTGAAATCTGGAGAAAATTTTAAAATTTTATATGAGTTAGCTGATAAATTAAATGCGGCGGTAGGTGCCTCCAGAGCAGCTGTTGATGCTGGATATGTACCAAACGACATGCAAATTGGTCAAACAGGAAAAATTGTTGCACCCGTAATATACATACTTATGACATTTTCTTTTTCCTCAAATAAGAATATATTTTATAGGAATTATACATCGCAGTTGGAATTTCAGGAGCTATTCAACATCTTGCCGGAATGAAAGATTCGAAAACAATAGTTGCCATAAATAAAGATCCCGAAGCACCTATTTTCCAAGTTGCAGATTTAGGATTAGTAGCTGATTTATTTAAAGCTGTCCCAGAAATTAATCAAAAATTGTAGCTTCTTTTTAATATTTGAATTAATCTTTGTAAATTGTATAGGAATGTCGAAATAAGAAATCAGTAAATCAATTTTGTAAACAGAACTCAATTTTATATCAAGCTGTATATCCAGTTTATTAAAATTTTTTATTACAGAACAGAAAATGTTTTTGAGTTTTATGCATAATTCTAATATTTGTACTTTCCAGAACTATTTAACACTATCTTATTTTTATATGTGATTTTCACGATGGAACTTGTCTAGAATTAGAATGCTTCTGTTTTAGCTTAGATTTCACTTTAAAATTTTAAAGTAAATTGTATATTAAAATTTTACATTACTAAATTTTTAAAATGACATAAGTTTAAATTTAATAAATTGAAAAACAATTTTCTTTCCAGTTGTATATTTATAGAACTTAACGTTTTTGAAAAAGAACTTTTGGTGCTTTTGAATACACATGTATGTGTTAAGGTAACTTTGGAATTTTGAATTTTTTATATTGTTCGTAACTTGAAATTCATTTTATGAACCACTTCATCTTAGAAAATTATATTCGCTAATAATTTTGTCTTTGGAGAAATCTGAATATAAATTCAAGAAATATTTATTTTTCAGTGTTTGATTAAAACATTGATTGTTTGAACTCACCTTTTAACGTTTTTTTTTGCAAGAGTTAAACTTTATTCAAAAATGTACTCAAATATTGAAAGTACTGTGAAAAGTATTTTTGCCAAAAAAAAAAAAAAATATTCAGACTAGTAGTAAATGTTGCAAAAATAATTCTTTAAACGCTTTAATTGTTCAAGTTCTTTACGGAAATCAGTCAACAAAAGTTAGAAAAATTAAATAAGAGAAAAGTAACCTTCCAGAAATGAAAAAACCTTGCAAAATAATTGAGATGATAAGGAATAATATCACGAAGTAAAATGATAAGCTTTCATATTTGTTACATTTCGTTTTATTAAAAAAAATTCGACTTATGTATATATGTATGTATTAACTACTTTCTATAAAAATTTAAAAATTACAGATTACAAATTCCTATAAATATTATGTAAAATGTTATGATTACATATTTTGTTCGGTTTGTCAATTGCAAAATTTTTGCAAACAAAATTATTTTCTATGATAAGTAAATAACATTTAAATTTGTTCACTTCATATTTAATTATGAAAATAGTACAGTTTATTCTAACACAGCAGAACTTGCCATTTCACTAACGCCACATGCATTTGTACCTCTATAAATACGGTAATAACCTTGTTCGCCCCTATAAAATATATAAAAGAATTTGTTTTTATAGATATTTTTGAATTACATATACAATTGATTTCTTTGTTTATACCAATTTTTTCCCCATGAATTCTTAATTATCCAATAAGGAAGTGTTTTATTGTAAACAGGAAATTCTGCAACTCCGAAACCGACTATGAGTACACCGTGATCTATTGCTCCGGGACGACATAAAAGTTTCCAAGGATGTGATATACCGCCTTTGTAAAACATCATTGCGTTAGCATTTAAACCTTTATTAAAAAAAAATAATATTGTCAGATATATCAATTTTTAATATCAGATAAATGCATATTAGTGTTTCAAAAGAAAAAAAAAAGTTTTCTTTACAAAGTTTCAAATCACATATTTAAAATTGTAAAAATACAGTTTTCAATACCCAGTAGAAACTTAAAAACTGCACGGTATCAAAAGTTTTCTTCTTACAACATAAGATTTTTATATTTACCAATAGAAATCGGTCCATTTTTGACTAACCATAAAGCCATTGCTGTTTCATTTTTTGGAAAATCGATGCCACCCTTTACTTTAACACGAATTTTTGATTTATCTATAGAACATTTGTCTTTATGAGCTTCATAAGGATATTCAGATTCCAATTCAAGACCACCAAGTTGATCAATAGCTCTTATGTGAACAAATTTAAAAATTAAATTCATTTATATATTATTATATTATGAATATTTCTTTTTTAAAATTACTTATAAGCATTGTCCATTAATCCTCCTTGACATCCTTTATCAAGGGTGTCACAATCAACCAATTCTTGCTCAGAGTATTCTTCAAGTTGACCTGCTTTTATTGCATGAAGACCTTCAATATTTCCAACAGTACTAAATGCCCAGCATGAACCACAAGTACCCTGGTCTTTTACCTAATAAAGTTATGTATATGTAATAGTTAAACTTTCTAGTGTATATATATTTTTTTCTAATGTATAATTTTCTTTCATTTTGTTTTTTATTCAAAATACCTCAGTAATAACGTTTTTAGTTCTCCAATCGAATTCTTTTGGTAAATCTATGTTTGGAATGTTAGCAATAGGATTACCAATGTCATTATTATCGGGATCATATAATAAACCAGTTCTCATCTTATATTCAGTTGTTGTCATATCAGCAAACTCTGTCAAACCATATTTTGCAGTGCCTGAAATTTTACAAAAGCTAATTTATAATTATTGTATAATTTCGCTTATTCATTATATCATAAATGAATAATTTGAGCTACAGTACTATTAAAAATTACACAATTATTTCATTCGATTTGAGATGGTGTTAATTAGAATACCTACATTTTTATTTAAATTTAAATTTTCATATTATAAAATAAAACAAATTGAAATCAACTTTTAAAGTTATTAAAATTAAGGTCTAATATATCCTATATATGAAAGAAAAAAGCGAATTTTTATTTTCAAAATAAAATAATCTGTTCAATTGACCTTCATGGTCACCGTGAACTTCATTAAAAATATATGTATGTGCGTATGTGTTATATAAATGTAAGACTAAAGTAACTTTTGGTTACTCTAAAGGTTGTTGAGCTTATTCGCATTAAATTACTTAATTTCTTAACATTATTTATTTTGCTGCGTATTATAATGTTTAAATATATAGGATTAAAAAAATATTGTATTCAAGTACAGCTTTTATTCTACCATTTTAATGTATGTAATTTTAAATTATTGAATATAATATTAAATATAGTGGTAGGAAATTGCTTATGGTTTTACCGGTAATAAATCAAAATGAATACATAAATTTAGTGATTTTACGAATTTCTTTTTATACATTTAAAAGCTATAAAATAACAATAAACAAAAAAAAAAACTTCTACCATATTTCTTTCGTAGGCCTAAATTTTAAAGATGCGCGTCTCTACTGTAATTAAATTTTTAATATTTTTTATTTTAATATACTATAATAAATAAATAAAATATTTAGATTTTTTACCTTGTTCTCTTTTATTAAGTTGATTAATTTTTAACAAATTACTTTTGAAAATTTGATAACGTTTTTGTTTTTCAAATTCATTTTCGTAATTCCGATAAAATTTCTTTTGAAATTTTTCAAAAAGATGTTCACTCTTTTTTAAATTATATTTCTTTGGTGAACGTTTATTTCTTAAAGAATGATCACCATCTATATTATGATTGTGTTGACTATGTTGTTTCGTTTTTGTGACCTTAAAAATATTAAAAAAAACATAACAAAAAAAAATTAAGAAAAATTTTAATAGTAATTAATTTACACTTAATTATTATTTTTTTTACACTGTTTGAAAAATAACAATATTTCGAAAAAGTTGATTAAAAATATTATTTAATTTAAAATATTTCCAAATATAATTATTTAATTTATTTAATTTAATTATGTCAAATATGGTAAATAACTTTTTTTGCAAAATCAAATTAAATAAACAAAAATTTTATAAATTTTATCAACTTTTTTTTTGTATATTTAAAAATTATAAATCAAATCGGTAATTTAATATTGTATCAATGTGTAATTGCATGAATATAATTATATTCATTTAATTAAATACAATATTTGTATACATAAGAATTTTGGTTATCTAATTAATAAAATTAAAGCAATAATGTTTTAATTACTGAATTATTTATGTTACATAATTACTGAAAAGTAAATTTAACGTTAGATCTGCATTTTGGAATAGACGCTCATATTTTAGTAATCATTTAAATACGGTAAACGTTCAATACAAAATAAATGAAATAAGTGTAAATATTTTAAAATTATCAAAACTTCAAAATTTTATTTTTAGTGCTTGAATTTTTATTAAAATTAAAGCACTGCCCTTACTAGGAGGACAGTGATAAAAGTAACACTGTTTAAAATTTTTGTATTAAAATTCCTAAATTTCAATTTAGTTTTCTTAAAATTTACAAGTTAATCTTACCTTTAAAATTACAAAAAAGGTGTACACAAATTCTTACATATAGTAGGTATGTATGTATATTCTCCTGTAATCCGATAACTTAGCTTTACATTTTTAAATATGAAAGCTAATACAAAATTTAATTTAATTGCCCAAAAATAAAAAATTTCATCTGTTATAGTTTTAATTTTACGAAATTCATTTATTTTTTTCTCTAAAATACATACTCTTTTATAATATGACACAGCCAAACTTATATATATGTATATATATACATACAAAGATTATTTTACATATTTTATTGAGATTGTTGAATGAAGCAAAACAAAGAATTTCCAAAAATTTGTATTTTTTATTTAATGATTTAATAATTTTGACTAAGTATATGTGGTCGGTTTAAAGATAAAATTTATTAAGTACACTTTTTTCGAAAATTGAGTTAAATGCACCTACTTGATATATTTTTGTTTGATTATCGTTTAGAATGCTCATTTTTTAAAAAAATTATGTTTTTTTCTTTTCAAAAAAAAAAACAAAAGTAATATTCTAAAAGAAAACAGATCACAAGAATTGTACAGTCGAAGAAAATTAACAACAATTTATTTTATTTAAAATTTTAATAACAATTTTATTTTATTAACAATTTATATAAGTTCTAAAAATTGATATTATTTGATTAGTCCTAAAAAATAATTTAATAATAAAAAAATACAAATACATAATTTTATAAAATAAATTCAATACTGTTTTCAACATTCTTCTTAAAAAGTAAAATTCACTAACTACAAACTGATGAATTGAATCCTCAACACCCTAATTTATCTTTTGGAAATTATAAGTTAGTGCAAAATAACTGAAATACCAATACTTTACTAAAATTCATGCGCGGAAGCTAAATGCGTATATTTTACGATTTTGCTAGCTACAAAAATTAGTAAATCAAAATTTTTTCGAAAAATTAAAAAATGTTGCTTAATGAGTTTTAACTTTCAAACCAACACATTGCTATAAAATTTTATAGTAGAGAACCATATTGCTATAAAATTTTATTAATGAATTTGTTCTTATAGTTAATTTGAGCTTAGTTAACGGGAAATTTTTGTTTCCTATATTATTTAATAATTTGGTCAACAATAAAAGATTCTATTCAGATTATAAAATGTTCTTTATTGCAAATTATCAAAATTACATAACCAATTTTTTGTTTTTTGTGTGAATCACATATATGAGTACATATTATACTATTATTGACCATATTTTTTTTATTTGCAATGTTAAAAAATACGGAAAAACATAAAATAAAAAATTTTTTAAAAAGATATTTAGTTTTTTGAAGGTAATGAAAACAAACAAAAAAAAAAATTAAATGTGATTACGTAAGTGCGTTCATTTAAGAAAAAGACGATTCATTGATATTCGACCTACATACATGTTTGATACATTGAATTTTATGTATTATAAAATAAACCTGTTTTTTTTTTAAATTTTTCTCTTAAATATACTTCTCCAAAAGAACATAATTTATAACGGAATTTATATTAAAGGATGCGTCATTTATCATAAATAAATTTTATAATTATTATTGGACATTAGTGCGCTTTAAAAGCGCGTTTAAAAATTTCCTTTTTTTTTTTATTCATTTAAATTTTTTCATTATTTTATTTCTTATTTTTTTTTCGAGGTAGGTCATCTTTATGAAAAATCTTTATTATTAAAATATTTTTTTTTTTTAATTTTCGTATTGAAGAACTTAAAAAATTATTTATATGCGCCAGCTTAATGTTAATTTTTTCGAATAATTTTTTGTATGAATTTGCAATTGTGTATGAGCACAATGTGTGTAATAACAAATGCACTTGCATGCGATGCTTATATTCATATATACATACATTATGTATGTATGTAAATATTTCATATTATAATTACTTCAATGCGTTTCAAGGTTAATTTGACTGAAATAAGGATTTTTGTTTTTTACTTTATCATATTATTAAAATAAATAATTATAAATATATATATATACATACATACCTATATAGTTTTTACATAATAAATTTTTAACCTTTACTAAAAATATGTAATGTAAATTGTTATCGATGCTGTTATCAGGTTTTGAAATAAAATACAATATTTATGTACATACATATGTTCCTATATATGTAGGAATAATAACGTACATGAAAAATATGACCGCAGCTATAATAATATTATGAATGCATATAATACATATAAGTATGTATGTATATATTTATATATTTATAACTATTTTAAAGAATTCATTCACAAATTCATGATCTGTATAGGGAGATGTTTTAAGCATTTTTATTAAAATTTAAAGAGAAACACAGAAAAATATTACGAATTTTTTAACAATTTGTTAATCATTACTAATTTTATTATTTTACATAGCATTGATCCATCATCCATACGTATCCATACGTTGACGAAGATAAGGTTTTATTTACATTATCATGTCAAACTTGATGGCACATTTCAACTGTATTTTGACTATATTTCAATTACATGTTGAATGATCGATAAAAATAATAAATTTCATGTACCCTTCAGTATAACACTCAAATAAATTAAATTTTAGCTGTATAACCTCGAAATCAATTTAAATATGTATAGATATAGGTGTCTAATATCCTCAAGAGTACAGAATTACAACATATAGATGCATTTTCGAATATTAAATTTAAATTTTTCTAGTTATTTGTATAAGAGCATTTAAAACGTCTAATTAAATATTAAGATTTTTCTTAATTCTTCTTAATAGAAAATTCAAATTAGAAAATTGCAAATTAGTTTAAATTGATTACAATAATATAAAAGAATAAAATGTATTTAATTATTTCCATAATTGTTTTAATTTAAAGAAATATTTCTGTATGCGCTATTCTTTTCCCCACTCCTGTATTAAAATATGACAGTAAGGTAAAAATTGTAATTTATAATAGATTTTTGATTTCATATAAAATCAATTGAATTATTAAAACATTCAAATTATAAAAATACTTTGTAAGAAAATTTTTTATAATTCAAATACAAAAAAAAAAAAAATTAAAATTTTAATTGCGCAAAATTAATAACAAAAAAAATTATTATCAGTTTTTGATGAATGTCGTTTCGTTTTAATATTTTTTTTGATATGTATTTACAGTCAAACTCCTATAACATGAACCGCTGCAAGACCATATTCTCTCTGACGCAAGACCAAAAGACGAAATTCTTGTTACAATTCTCTCAATTCTGTTGTACTGAATTTTAGATTATAACCAGAATTTTTTTTTGTATTTTTGTACATTTTTAACATGAAACCTCCATAAATTAAAATTATCCCTGTAATATTTTCAATAGAAAAATTTCTTTGTCGCTTTGAATCTAACACGCCTTTATAACACAAGCAAATTACCTTTAAACTGAAATTTTCTTAAAATCGAACAATTTCAATACAAAAAATCTTTTTTTGAAATTTTTGATTTTTATATTTTACAATAGTTTTTTTTTTGTCTTATACAGAACGTAAACGAACACTAATAGGAAAAAAAAAACATTCGTACAATTTTTATTTTTGTTCATAACTCTGAATGGAAATTCTCTCTAACACGAACAAATATTTTTGCAAATTGGCAATTATAAATTAGTTTGACTGTATTTTGTACATATCTTTTACATATATGTACATGTACCAAGATTTTTCCAGTAAATCAACAATATTTAAGTATTTGTAAGAAAATCAAACAAAAATTTAAAAAGATTTTTGATTTTTATACAAAATTGAAATTTTTACACCAATACCGGGTTTAACAAATTAATTATGTATTATCAGTTTCTATAATACTGATTAATACTCGTATACAAAAAAACAGCAATATAGTGGAATCTCTACGAGTATAATATAACGAACTTGTAAAATGGACCAAGAATATATTCTGTTTTTATCCACTCGCTGCATCGGCACATTTAAATCAAACATAAAGTTTTACATCGAAAATGATATTTTGCGAAAATATAGTTGAAATTCGAAATGCTGTGAAGCAGTAAATTCAACAAAGAGATTACATATTTCTTTTAAATTCATTATGAAATTTTTAACTTCAAAAACAAAACAAAATTAGTTGGCAATCTTAAAAGTGATATAAAAAAAAAATTTATGGAATCAATCGATGAACTCGATAAAATACAAAAAAAAAATATGGATAAATTCTATTCTATGTTAGCTCATACTATAATTAACTATATAAATATATATTTATATACATATATAAATTTTATTAATTTGATATTAATTCTAATTAATTAATTCAATAAAACTTGTTCTTCCATAAATTTTCGATATTATTTATATTGACAACCGATACGTTGCTCATACACATTTTTATAGAATATATTATTATTTTTTTTAAAAGAATTATTATTCAAAATATAATATGTGTATTAAACATACATACATATATACTCAGTTAAAATGTATTTAAATTTTATTTAAATATTTGAAATCAGCATAATATCCATTTGTTGAACTCGAATATGGAATTGAGTTGGCATACATAATACAAATGAAATTTAAAATATATTTTAAAAGGTTGTTTAAACTTATGTATAGAGTCTATGAACGACAGCTATTATATTTAATACATTTATAAAAAGTGATTTACCGCATTATTATAGATATATGTATTAAAATAAAATAATTCTTAAATATTCTATAAATAATGTCTTAAAACAACAATACTAAAATAATGCATATACTAGCATAAACAAAATATTTATTTATTGAAAAAAAATCGAATGTGTCAAGCACAAGACTGACTAAAAATATATTATGTAAGTATAAATTTTTCGGATAATATCTTTTTTTTTAAACAAGAGAACTACATGAATTTTAATATTGGAATTACTTATAATATTTAATTAAAATTTATAAGAATGCAAAAAAAAAAACACCTTCACACAGACGCTTCTACAATCTAATTTACTCGATAATTAATATTACTGTTTTCCAAAAGTTCTTCCAAAAGAATAAAGTTGAAAAATCAAATTTTAGCCTTAATGAAGACTTAATTCCTTAAGTCGAAACCAATCCTATGATTGAACAATTTCATCACATTCATAAATTAAAATATAAATTTTTCTGTACTTATTTATAAATCATTTCAGTGGAAGGTGCAATAGAATTTAAATATAATGTGAATGCGTGATCTTCATACAAAAATGGTCATCGTACATTTAATTATGTATGTACATATATCGTATATATAATATTAGTTGTAAGAATTAGAATTATATTAGATATTTAATAAATTAATTATTTTAAATAATGGCAATGAAAAATTTTACAAAGTTACACGTTCCGAATCTTACGAGTATAAGGTGCGCTTTCGAAACGCAAATAGAGCATATCGTCCAAAAATTTTGATAAGTATCACAATAAGTATTACAAGTATGTGTTAGTTATTATTTAAAATTCACAATAGCCTGTTAATTTTAAAAAGAATGCTATTAATATTTTAGAATATAAGAAATTTTATATTATCAATTTTATAATGTAAAAAAAAACTTGGTTTTTGTTTGACTATGTAATATTATTGTAATTACAATGACACTTCAATTGCAGTTTTAGGTATAAATACAATTAAAATGTGGTTTCAAAACTTTAATTTTGACACTAAACAACCAACAACATGCTACAGTTTTTAATAGATCAAATTTGATAACGTTGTTAAGACGCTTTATTTATTGTCAGTTCTAAATTATATTTTACTTCTTTCTTGTTTTTTTTTAATTATATTCAATTTATCTGAACTAGTAATAATTTAAAATTTTTAATTTCATCATATTCAGCCAATAATATTCATAAATACATTTTTACAATTTTTCTTTTTTGGCACATCCATATACTTTGTGAATTCGGTACTTGTATAAAATGCATTTTTTAGTTCAACTTTTTTTTTTTGTTGGTAGGTATTTTAAAAATGAATAAAATTAATAAATTAATGTTGTGATGCCTAATGTACATTAACTTGTATCATAACAATATTGTCGATCATTTTTTCTCTTCTCTTTTTTTTTTTTTGATGCTTTAATTTTAGGTTACACACATTTCTCATGAAGTTTATTATTTTTCTAACTCTTATAAAAGCAAGTCAGTATCTTACTATTGATGTAATGAGATGAGATAAATTTATAATCTTTTTAGTACAAGAAGGGAAGAACAAATAAACAAAGAAAAACAGAAAAAAAAAACAAGACTAACAGAGATATCTTCATGCATCATTATCATTAATGAATTATTTATTCGATAGATGGCGACATCAAAAGTTAATTTTTTTTTTTCTTCTTTTCATATTATCATGGATATTATGGTGTTAAAGTTATGGTTCATAAATTATTTTGTAAATTTATAAGCTATATAGTGTAAGTGAGTAAATTAAAACTTAAGAAAAATGTTAAAAATAAAAAAAAAAATTAAGTAATGTGTACATACTTACATACATACATATGTACATACATATTCGAGAAAGATTCAATGATAAACCCAAAAAAAAAATTATTGTAAGTGGCGTAATACCAATAATAGTGTGACTTACTGCATTAAAATTAAAAACAAAACAAAAAAAACCATTGAAAACTTTGAGGATTACAAACAAAAAAAAAAACAACAAAAACTTGCTTATAAAAGATAATTTTTATCGCACGTTTAACACGTACAACACGACAAATGTATGTACTATATACAAACATATATATATATATTATATACCTATATTAGTAAATGATTGAAATCTAAAGAAAAAAACTAAAATAATTGAATATTTTATCAACACTTGGATAAAATCACATGATGCATAAATCCAATTCAAATAAATTGCACAATTCATTCACAGCCTTCATGACAAAAATATTTGTGCATACATATTCATATGTACTTATATACAAAATATATTAAATGTATCATTGTAGTAGGTGTATAAAAAAAATATATTTTAATTAATATTTTTAATACCAAAACTAAAACTAATTAATATTTTTTCCTCTTTCAAATCTTTTATTGGCATTCTCTTAACAATCAATTGATTTTATACAGTAAATTAAAAATTTTAAGCACATGTACATAAACGTATGTACATAAATATTTGCAGTTTATATAAGAAATCAATCAAACCTAAAATTTGAAAAGTAATTTTTTTTTAAATATATGTGATTATAATTCAAAAATAAATAAAAAATTGCACTATGAATTGCAATTTGTGCTATTATTAAAATTTAATACTGAAATTTCTCTACAAACAGTTTACTTAATAATTTTAGTAGATATTGATTTACTTAAAATTTTCATTAAATAATTCAACAAAAATAAATTGTATTAATTTTTCATAAATTTAATAAGAAATTTTCTGGTTATCTTCATTAAAATTTTTATCATAGATATTTTAGGTGATTTTCAACACAGCTTATATAAAATAGCTAGTGCCTGCAATAATTTTACTTGCTCAATAAAAAAAATATTTCTTGTAAAAATTTTTATCTCTTACAATGAAATTCAAAAAACTTGAAACCTTTTTTTTCGAATATATATTCTATTTGGCATTTTTTCTCCTACATAACATTCTTTAGATCTAATCAAAGGCAAGCATTAAATTTTAGTTTTGGATTAAAATTTTTGTCAGTAATATTGGACAAGATTTTTAAATTGTTCAATGAAATAGTTGAATGAACTATGAAAATTATAAATTCAATATTCTCTACATTTATATTATGTGTATCCATTAAAATTAATCTTATTTGTTTCCAATTACATAGTTTAATATCAGTATTATTTAATTTTCATATTCAATTAGGTAAAAGTTGATAACATGTACGCACATAAACTGTAAGCTATTTAAAATGTAGTAATGATATAACTAAAATTTTAATGAATTAAAAAAATTATTAATGTTAAATTTTGTAAAAATATATTGTAATTAAATTTTGTGAAATAATATTGTTAAAATAATATTGTAATTATTTCGGAAACAGCCGATGCAGAAAAAAAAAACTGATATCCTTAATTGGTTGGTAAATTATCATTTAAATATTTAGGTAAATGATTATTAAATGTAGGTTAATTTTTCCTCAGCATGTATACAATAATAGTAAGTTATACACACAATGCAAAAATACAAATATGAGTGGTTAAACGTGGGATGGATATTATTTTTTAAAATGTGAATAATTGAATTTTGAACGAGGTTGTAAACTTATTAAATCATTTAAACAAAAAGGATTAAGAGCATTTTTTTCTCCAGTAGCAAGAATCGAGCTTATTTAATTAACTATAGTTTCTGAATTGCATGTATGTATTCCCTTTTTTTGTTAAGACATTTTTATGTAAATCAGCTAATTTTACTTGTCTGTCTTGTTTACGTAAAATTTAAAAAGATAAATATTAAATTAAAAATGCAATTTACAAATTACTGACTAATTTTTATTTTACTTGTTCAATAATTAAATATTTACATAACTTTCAATACTTGGGGAAATGTATGGAAATAAAATAAAAAAAAAAAAATTAATTTTTATTTCTTTTTTGTCCGATCAGGTCTAAACCTGCTCTGCTGATCTACTCCGCAATTTTTTCGATGTTTATTTAAACATTTTATTTCTATACTGTCATACATGTGTTTTTTATTTTTCATTAATATTATTTATTCGATTGGAGAATATTCTGTGGATGTTGTAATTGGATTGTGTAAAAATCTTCTAAATTCATTATGATTTCTTGTATTAACATTATAATCATTATTAATTTGATGATTATTACCATTATCATGATTATTATAATTATTGTCATTGTAATTATTATGGTTTGTATTGTAGTTAATATTTCTTTCATTATTATTATGTCTTACGTTGTAATTATTATTACGTATATTACTATTATAATTATTATTATTATCATTATTAACATGTTTATTATTATTATCAATATTATTATTATCATTTATTTTAGTTTGTTTTTTTAAATTTTTTGGTTGTAAAATCATTGATTCAATTTGGTCTAATAATCCATCAGAAACGTGTTGTACAGTTGGATTAAATAATGTATTATTTGGATATTTTTCATCTAAAGTTGCTTGATCTAAATGATTTCGATCATTAATATTCATTATTTCTGTTAAATCTGAACAATTTGATTTTTCCAAAACACGAACTTTATCTCCCCATGGTGTTAATAACCATGGTTTCTCCTGAACTTGAATATCACATATAATCTCAGTATTATCATTTCGATTTGCTTGAATTAAAATATCATATCGTACGCCATTGATGACTTCTCGATATGCTTCAATAATTTTTGAATAAGTTAATTGTCTAGGTAAATATACTAAAGCCATATTTTGTAATCCAACTAGATTTGATTTTAATTTCTCTCGATTGCCAGTTTGATGTAAATTTGTTGGTATTACTGGTGCTTCAGTTGTATATTCTGTATTCAAATGTTGACTAGAATCCTAATTTAATGATATTGATTATTAAATTTTATATTTTTCAAGGGTACATTTGTAAAAATTTTGAATTTGCATTTTGTTTTTATTAGCATTAGATACATTCATGTATGAATGAAATTAAGGAGGTTGTTTATTAAAATTTTAATAACAATAAAACAAAATGTTGTCGAAAAAAAAAATATATTGAAATTTTTTATTTAAAATTAAATATGTTATGCCCAATTTTTGTTTTGTCAATTTTTTTTATGGAAATTTTAAACAACATTTTCGATTTACAATGTATATTATTGTTAATTTTTAATTTATTATATAAAGATTAAAATTTAAATGTTTCTCATGCTTAATTTTATTATTGAATATAAAATTTATAATCAATGAGATGAGGTTGAGGTAATTTTGTTTAGAGTTATCCAAATAAAATAATTTGAATAAGTAAAAATAAAATAAATATTTATGCATTCATTGTATTTAAAAAAAAAAAATTAATTAAGAGAATTGAACTAAATGTATTTCAAAAATTGATTTGGTGAAAAGTTGAAAATAAAATGTGGTATTAAATTATTAATAAAATGCAATTTCAAAAAGATAAATATGGGAAAAGCTCGTTTAAACAGACATTATTCAAGCGAATAAGCAAACATCTTTCAATGAAATTTAATTTCTATGTAAAATCAAATACCTATTCCACATATGAAAGTAATTTTTGAATTTTCACATATGAAAGTAGTAAAAATGACTGATTTTTTGAAAAACAATGAAGATATTTTTATATACCTGATTAGCATTATTTAAATTTCCTTGTATTTTGACTTCATTATTATCATTACGAACAGATAAATCGGCTGCACTGTTTTCAACTTCAGTCTGTGATATTGCAGTAGTCTCTATAATACTAATAACTGTTGTCTCATCATTTTCATTTTTAGAATTTGAATTTTGAATTAAATTCTGCGTTTGTTTTTCTATTTTACTTTCGATTATCATACCCTCAATATCATCTAAAGATGTTCCTTTCGATATTTTTTTATTTTCCGGATTAAATATTGTATTATTTTCATAAGTTAAATCTATATGAGCTTGATCAACTGAAAAATTTTCATTAAAATTTTTTATTTCAGTTTGTGATGAACAATTAGATTTTTCTAAAATACGTAAACGTTCATCCCATGGTGTTACAAACCAAGATTTTTCATGTATTACTAAATTACATAATATTGTAACATTTTTTTCATCTGTTGCATTCACTAAAAGATCATATCTTATGCCATCTTTAACTTCACGATAAGCTTCAATAATATTAGAATAATTGAAATTTTTTGGTAGATATAATATTGCAAAATTTTCAAGTCCTGTTAAATTTGGATCTAGTTGTTCACGTTTTCCATATTCTTCAGGACCTTTACGTAATAAAGCATTTTCAGTGGTTGTTGTTATGACATCTTCTTCATTAATTGGCTGTTCTGTTGTATAATACTCTTCCTGTTGAAATTGACAATAATAAAGATGTCGCTCTTTTTTTTTTTTTTTTTGTTAAGCATAAGAAATTATTTTTTTTTGCTGTTTGTGTTTTTTTATTGCTTTACTAATGAGTTTTATTAAAATAACGATGGTGCTTTTAACAAACATTTAATGCACGTATATTAATAAAAGAAAGAAAATTATAAATAAGTAAAATGCAACTAAATCCTTAAATTAAATATTAGCACTTTTTATGCATTTACTATTTAACCGTTATACCTTTACCGTTGTATTTAATGTAAATATTATATTGTTATTTTTATATCACAGTAGACTCGCAATAATATTTTTTTTTATATTTATACATGCATTTTTAAAAACTGCGCGGTCGCCAAAATTTTTCACAAATATTCAGATTTGAGCATTAATACTGAGCTCTTTAAGTACATTATTCTCAAGTGTACAAGATCTTTTTGAAAATTATTCACATTTTTATACACACATTATCCACCAAATGTACGAAATAAAATCAAACTAGAAGAATTTTCGGTAATTTTAGTTTAAAAAGGCAATTTAAAGACTTTGTTTTCCTTACGTCCTTATGTAATGAAAAAAAAATTTGTGCAAGATTGAAGACATAGTTACAAATACATTCAATATTTTGATACATCCTAGCAGGTTGCAAAAAAATCACTCAAATCAATTATTTGTGCAAAGATTATTATTAACACATTTATGCTAGTTATTTATTTAAATTTTCGCCATTATAATTTATCAAAACGAACAAACAGAATAAAAAAATCTTAATTATTTCATTTTTATCGTTGAATCAGCATGAAAAAAATATTCATAAGCATTATATTCTAGGACAAAAGTACAAACGCAATGCACGGTATGACATACAGATGTTCAATGCTGCTCAATGTAAAATTAATATTATTGCAAGACTACTGGTATTTTTACAATTTTTATGAAATATGTATCTAAGAATTTATATTTATTTTGTAAATTCTTAAAACATGGTTAAAATTGTTAGTAAATTAATTAATTAATGTTAATTATTTATATTATAACTTGTCATGCTTTGTGTATGAAATCCAAATATTGTAATTATTTACTATAAAATACACAGATAAATACATACTATTTTTCCCGATGCCTAAAAAGGCACCTTTCGAGAATTAAAATTTATTGATAATGCTATACTTGTACGGTACAGAGCCTTTAATTGTGGTAATTTGCTCTTTAATTGTATAATTGTAAATATGAAAATTCTATTAACACGAAAAATATCTATAATATAAAATCAGCATAAAATAATATTTTTATAAAAGAAAAAATAACGTTGCTGTAAGCGAACTTTACTTACTGAAAAAAAAAAATAATAATAATAAGCATGTAAATAAATAAACAATAGGGTGAGAGTCTAGTTTTTTAAAAGCCCAAAAAGAATTTAAATTTGAGTTGGGAAAATTCTAACTAAACGCAACATTTGAAAAATATTCCTGTTTTATAACAGTCTCCGCCTAGATAATCAACTTTTCGTTTTACTTAGCTCGATATCGTCATACTTGCATATTTTTTTGTTTTAAAATAATTTCAATTTTATTTTTCTATTTCTTCAAGATCTATTGAGTCATACACAATATACATACATACGTATATGTATATGCAATTTTTATAAATTTATTTTTATAAACGCTATAAACATGCTTTACTTGTCGTCATAACATTTACTTTCAATGACACTTTATAAATCACTTTCAACAGCAATCATATCAATATCAACAATTTTATTTGTTTGTACAAATAATCTTTACACGTTCGTTTTCTTTCAAACAAATTTACGATATTCTCACAGATCAATTTCTTTTTCAATGAAATGAAAACTTTTCTAATGATCTCTTAAATTTCTTAATAAATTAAATTAAAATAATTTTACAGTTTCTCTATTAAAATTTAAAAAAAATACATACGTATTATATTCGATTATAAAAATACTACCTTAATGGGTTAAAATTATTAAAATTTAATTTTAATTGATGTTTTTGATTTAATTAATTTCAAGAAGTTAATTTCAAATGAAGCAAGAATAATTGAAAATAGTAAGCAAGTAAAAAATAATTTTCTTGAAAAAAATAAAAAAGGTTTAACAAATGAAATTATAGCAAAAATTGCGACGGATTTTAATAATTTCAAAATAAAAATTGCTAATTTTAATGTTGTAACAATTAAACAACAACATATTTACAAAATGCATTAAGCACAGCGGTTTTCATTCAGAAAAAGGGTTGTGGGATTATAGTACTATACTAGAGAATTATAGTTAGTTAAGCTAAATTATAGTTATAATTTTATTATTGTTTGTCAGCTTTCTATCATTAAGGATCTAGAATTTTTGTATAAGCAGTGGTACGAAACTACCTGGCACATCTTTTTGAAATTTTACTTTTTTTTTTATTATACGAAAACAAGAATTTGTAGTAACCCTGCAACTATTTTACAATATTTAACACTTCAATTGCTCTATTTTATTTTAAATTTTAAAAGAAAAATATTGGAATTTGCATCTTCAATATTGGGAATTGCACCAAACAACCAAAATATGTATATAAATTCAAATCACGCAATAAAGAACTTTTAAAAAAAGCTAATTTGATTATATTTTTTTACAAATAAAAAATAACAAAAACAAATAATGATTTGCTTTGTTAAGGTGATTTTAATTATCTGCTATTTATAGTAGCAAACAAAGTTAAAATAAAAATTTTTGAAAATTGCCTTTGTACCAATATTGTGGGAGTTGGCTATTTTAAGATAATAAAGAATTAATTTCTTCATTCTGTTATAGAATTCCTCAAATCTATTTCTTCCTAGTTTTAAATTAAATACACTTCCGTGTCCATATCAATACACAATAAATATAACGACAAAAATTTTTTTTTAATATTGTATATCCGAAGTCAATTAATCTAATTTTTTTTTTAAATTCAATATCATAAGGTTTTAAAATATGATTTAGTAATTAAGAAGTAATTCAAATTAAAAATTAAATAACGACCACGATTTCCTAATTCTAGATTTACTAATTATAAATTGCAAATATAAATTGTATTTAGCAATTAGCATTCTTTCATATTTACGATTTCATATTAAATTTACGATAAAATATGAAGGGGTTAAATATTGTTTTTTCCATAAAGTCGAGTTATTATAAGCGTTCATATAAAAAAAATATACTATAAGTAAAATTCTATTTTAATTAATAAAGCTTACAATTATAAGTTTTATTTTAATTTATAAAGCTCGTTTTAATATGAAAGAAAATATAGAAAGATTTAATTTAAAATAAAACAAAAACAAAACAAAGCTCTTCCTCTTTTTGTTTTTCTGTATAAATATATGTACCTAATTCAATGAATGAATATGCAAACTATAACTAATTTTTTTAGATTCAATAAAAAAAATATAACGCGAAATTTTTCAATTATATGTTAAAATGTATCTTACTATAGTTAGGCATATACAGTTAACCGTGTTATTTATAATGTCCATATCCATACAACAAAAATAGATAAATGCGACATCGAAATTTTTACTTAATTAAACGTAGAAGCGTATAAACTTTTTCAAAGAGCTAATCATAAATTTCTGAAATAAAATAATTTTTTGTTTTTTTGCAAAACTAAAATACGCATAAATTTTATATGAATATTAATCGAATTTAAAAGGCCATTATACGAGCATTATGTTAATGAATGCCTCCACATTATATAGATACATGTGTATATACATATATATGTACATCTGCTTAAGCATTTCATTATTTCAATCACACGTGTATTTTGTACCAATTGAATCTCACTATATTGAGATCACCACTTATTAATCAATTGATATAAGCAGGTATCCCTACCTTTCTACCGATGTAAATATTGAATAATTTACATACCTAAGCATAATATACAGACATAAATACATAATATATACATATATGTTTAAATATCAATAATGGATTTGTGAATATCTAAATTATCTATTTTTTTATTTAGAAGAAATAATATACTAATGAAACTGGATAAATATTTTGAATGTGTAAAAGCTATGTATATATAAAAAAAAAATAAATATAAATTTGAATCATATAAAAACATAAAATGAACTAACAATAAAATTTCTTAGATCAGATACTTGCCATTAAATATTTAGCTTAGATTTAATAATGTATAGGTACATAATAAATGTAAGATTTTTTTTAAAAAAGAGTTATTGGTATGTAGATAGGTACCTACGTACCTGGTTACTCTTATATGTATACACATATTATGCATGAATTAATACTTAAAATTATAATTATTAAATATTAAAATTTATACTTCCCTAACACCTCTAATCAATTATTATATTAAATAAAATTATTAGTTTTTCTTTCCTTTCTTTTTTATAAAATATTAATAAAATAAATTATGCACATTCATTTTATGTATACATAAATTGTATAAAAAGCATTTAATGTGTATATACAAAACAAAATTCTTTTTAGACCAAGGTTAAAAAATAATATGTATATAATAATAATCTAGCTTTAAGATTACGAATATGACCTTTTCTTCAAACAAATTAATATAAAATTATAGATATTGTTAATTTTGTTTTTCGTTCACCGTATTTAATAAAAAAAAAATGTAAATAAAATTATACCAATAAAAAACAAAAATAAAAAAAACAAATTTTTTAAATGCAATTGCAAAAAAAATTTACAAAAACAAAATCTTTGAACTTACATCTTCGGATTTGGTCACAACAAAGAACATTGCGACAATTAATAATAAAATCAAATGTGACTTCATTTTTCTTCTTAATTAAATCTTAATTTGTTTATTAAATAAAATGTTCATATACTTTATACAAATGATTCACTTCTTATAAGTTAAGATTCAATATAGAAATCGCACAAAAGCTTTCTTTCTTTTGCAAAACAATTTTTGTTCCAAATTCCACCGGAAATTTTGTGTTTTTTTTTTCTTCTTTTTGACTTTGCACTTCACCGTATAAATTCTTTAACAACAAATAACACGAAAATTCAGATTCAGACTGAAAGAAAAATTAAATTTATTTATAAAGTGCAAAAATGTTTATTCGAAAAAAAAAAAATCTCAAAAACAAAAATAATCAAGAAGGTATCAAAGAAAACTTACTATTAAAATAGGGATGTGACATTATAATATAAAATCGATATTGATTTTTTTATTTAGTTTTTGATATATCATTTTTTTTTTTAAGTTTTATTTCATTTTTATGGTACAAAATACATAACAAATATTATTTGATATCACCTAAGTTCCGCTTTATATGTGTACATGGAAAACATTTTTTTTTGTACATATATTTTATTCTCGGATAATTTTTAAAATATTTTCATATAGATTTTACTAATATTTTTGCTACAATATAAAAAAAAAATATTTGAATTGACAACTCTTTTTTCGAAATTTTTTAATATATTTTATTGACAGTTAAACACGAACAGGGATGTATTTACATTCATCATAGATTCAAGGAACATAAAATTATAAAAAAGATTTAAAAAAGAGCAATATGGTCGGATATGTCTTAGAAGAAATGTACATATTTATACGTATTTTAGAAGGTAGAATTTAAATGATTTGATTTAAACTTAATAGTTTTAAATTTGAGATTATTTGTAAAGAAAAAATTTAATTCTGAAAAAAAAAGAAGCCAAAAAGTACTCGATAGTAAAAGTTCCAATTGCAAAATTTCCTCAATAACCCCACTTTGTGGCCATAGTTAAAAACTAGATCAAAATAACATTTTTATATTTTATACATAAGTATATGAATGTACGTTACATATATGTATGTATTTCGTTCACGTTTCATGCAATACTTGATCAGTGGTCGCAATAAGATTTTATGTATCGTGCCAAAAAAGATGTGTTTTTTTCAAACCAATATTTCGGCGTGCCGCATCTACTCCATAAAATTAAGTAGTATTGAAAATCAGAATACTTATATTTATTTTTATGTTAATTTTTATTTATTTTATTTATTATTTTATTTTTATTTATATTTAAACATAAATTTATTATAACATTTTAGTCAAAATTCAAATTCAAATTTGAAACCAAAATAGAAATTATGTTTTTAATAATATTTTTTGTACTGAGTTTAAGCGCAATTATATTTTTGTTGAAAAAAAAATTAAAAATAAGAAAATTGTGTTTTGGAAAGTAACAAAATAAATAAAAAAACTTTTTAAAAAAAAAAAATTATTTTGATATACTTGTCACGCGTGCCAGTAAAGTTTCGAAGCGTGCCAATCTTGGCACGCGTGCCACGTAATTGCGATCATTGTCAGATAAATAAGTAGATTTTAAACTTAACACTCAATTAGATCTGAAATGTCAAAATCAAATATGTACATACATACATACATTTATATTAAATAAAAATAACAGATAAAATATATAATAAACTGAAATTCAATCAAAAAATTAGGATTTTCTAAAAAAAAAACATCTTTAGCCAATTTTATGAGGCATGCAAACGTCTTGAAAATAAAGTTACTTTTATTTTTACAATTTTTAGAAACTTTCAAATTAGTTTTAACAACAAAGGCCAAATTATGATTTATGAACGTCTATTAAGTTTCATTTCTTTTTATAATTGAAGGGAATCTATATACACGCCAGTATTACGAAAGTTTACTATTTTAATTTGAGTTCAGTTTGAGAAAAAAAAGCATTATTCTGATACACTCCAACTTAAAATAAGAATTAGAAAAAATAACAGAAAATATCAAGTACAACATTTACCTGCATAATTTAGTTTTTAAAAAAAGAAAATCTTATGAAAACATTAAAATTTTGGTTTAAACGCAGTTTTAAGAAAACGTTTATTTTTTTTTATTTGCAGTAGTAAAATTAAAACTCAATATTTGCGATTAAGACTTCAGTTGCAGTTGTTATTCAAAAGAATACTGCATTCATTAAATTGTCAAAACATTCCGGTATTTTTGAAAATACTTTATTAGCATTCCGTGCCAACTGCCTGTACTTAACTATTATTAAATTTGCTGCAAACTAAGTACATACATAATACAGAAATAAATTATCAAAAATATCAAATAAAAGACACTTATAGTTGGAGGTATAAGTTAAAAGAGGATTTAATCATATACAACGGAAAATGTAGTATATATGATAGAAATGAAAGAAAACCACTTTAGTTTTTGTTGAAACGTAATTATGCAAAATAAAGATTTCACATCTTTTTTCTCATTTTTCAACGCATCTTTTTTTTTAAGAGTAATTGGAGAAAAAAAGCATCTAATATAATATTGGTACTCATTTTTATATTATTACAAAAATAGGAAGAAACTGTTTTTAATAAAAATTTTCAAAAGAAAAGGAAATCTAAATAAAACTCGATAAAAAATATGTCATACACAGTTTTCAAATCATTTAATTTTAAATATTTAATTTTACCATTTTTTTTTTTTACATAATTTATTTATAATATATTTGTATATTTATATAAGTATATAATTAATAAGTATAAATATGTATATATATATGTATGTTTAAATATATATATATATTTATGTATATATTTGCATATAGTATTATATGTATATACAATTATAATGTATGAATATACGTTTTCAAATCAATAATTATTATTAAATTCATATATGTGTACATACATATACATATTATATATATATCTATGTATACATATACATTTCTATGTTTATTACTACAATTTAGGGCAAATCTTAAAATTATATCCTTTATTATTTAATTACTATAATATCCACCAATGAATTAAATAATATTTTTGTATTTTTTTTTTGTTTTCATTTTTTTTTTCAAATTTTCCTTTTTTTATTATCATTATTATTATTATTATTATATATATTCTTTTTTTTCATTTTATTTCTTAAAGCTAAATATTTAATTATATAATTTTTGTTTTTATACTTTTTTTTGCGATTCTTAAACCTTAAGGAGAATTTTTTTTTAATTTTTTAATTATTTTTTTTATGTCAAATTTTAACTACATATCTATTTGGGTTTTCTTAAAAGTAATAATTTTTTTTTGTTTTTATGCTTTTTTATTAATAATATTTTTAAATTAGTTTTAAGAATTCTAATTGTGTCTATTTGTTTTTTGTATTTTTTTTTATTATTTTTTTCTTTTAAAGGAATTGAGAAAAAAAAAATTGGTACGTAAAAGTTTATTTATAACATCACTGATAGTATTTTTTTTATTTATATTTAAGATTTTATTTAAATTTTTTTTTATTAAATCCATCATTCATTATTTTTTCTTTAAATATTATAATTATATATAAATATATATGCATATATCTTACATATATTTATATACATATATACATATGTATATTATATGTGAAATTTTTATAACCATAAAAAAAATTATTAAGTTATACCAATATGTATACATTTCCATATGTATATTAATAAATATATATATGTATATATATGTATATATATATATATATATATATTAAATATATATATTTACATACATAATATATATTGAAGAATATTTGAATATATATATTTATATATATGCATATAATATTATTTGTTTTCTAAATTTTTTTTTTATAATTATTTACTTTTTATTTTTAAATTATATTTAATTAACTTTACTTTTTGTTCTATAATTTTATAAATTTATAAAAATTAATTATTTTATTATTAATTAATATTAATTATTTAAAATTTAATCAACTGAAAATTGTTCACGCACACGCTCGCACTCTCGTTTTTTTTATTTTTTGTTTATTTCCTAATATTAAATTTTTTTTTTGCATTTCCTAATGTATTGAATTAATTTTTTATTTAATACATAAATTTAAGAATATATAATATGTATACATAATAATGTCAGATACTTTACTTTGTTTTTTTTTTAGCATAATTCTTATACAAAAAATTATATAAAAAAGTTGTTAATATAAGTAAAAAAAAAATAATAATAATAATGAAAATAATAATAATAAACGATACTACATCACCACACAGGTTAATTCGGTTATTTCGGCAAAATATTACATTATTTAAAAATTATTATTTAAAAAACAAATTTAATAATAATAAAAAAAAAATATTATAAAGTAAAAATTATTAAAAGTAAAATTTCTAAAATCTATTTTATGTTCTTTTTTTATTTATTTTATATCCTATTTAAGTGAAATGAGATAAATATCATCTATTACATAATTATATAATTTACAGAGTTTAATTCTTTTTAGGCGCAACTATTACTTTTTTTAATTTCTTTTTTTAAATTTTTTTTTTTTCGTGGCAATCGTATATTTGTTGTTTTATAAAAAAAATCAAATAAATGTTTTCAGTCAAGCAACCGATAAATTTAATTATTATTATTTACTTGTTTTTATATTTCTATTTCCATTTATATCTCCATTTGAATTTATTTAAAATTGAAAAAAATAAGAAAGAGAAAAACTAGGAAGAATGTAATGTTTTTATTGCATATTTCCTTATAATATGCCATTAATTAAAAATAAAATTTTTAATATTTTTCTATTTTAACATTATAATTTTCGGAACATGTCTAACCATCAGAAATATTTAAACAAAATATTTATAATTTTAGTACAAGCAAAATACAATTTTACATGAATTTAGCAAAAATTATACATAAATTTTCTTATATAAAGTTATTAAAGAAAAGAGGAAAACCTAAAAAATAAATACATATACATACGTCTTTTCTATCTAAAATTTGTTTTCATTAAAATATTTGAAAAATATGCTTTTAAAATTTTTTATTGATTTTAACTTTTAATTTTTTATATACCTTTTTTTTTAAATTTATATACATATATATTTAATTGATTTTTGTTAAAATTTATTTCTTCTAATAACTTTCAATTTTAATCAATTTCTTTACTTAATTTAAAATTAAAGTTATTTTGATTTTTGAAAATTTTAAAAACATTTTGTATGAACCGCAAAGGTTCTCAATAAACTGTATTAATTGGTTATTAAAACAAAGAGTAAATTTATTTAACTTGATTATAAACCTTAATCAACTGTTTATAAAATGTTAAAAATAGCTAATAAATATTGAAACTAAATATTATGGAATTGATTTGAAAAAATTTAAATATCCTTATTATCAAAGAAAATAGAAAATTTTTCTCAAGTGTTGAATTTTAAAAGTATTTTTTTTTTTACAAATCATACAATTATATAAAAATAATTTTTTTTAAAAGTGTTGTAATAATGATATAATATATGGTATTATTCTTAATTTGAAACGCATAATGATAAAAATAAAATCAATATTTATTTTTAAACAAATTTATAAGAAAAGAAATCACTACGTACAAACTCTTATTGTACATAAACACGAATTATTAAATTATACAGCAACAATGATTTATTATAAAATTATTAACATGTTTAATGAGATTCACATATTTTTTAAAGATATAAAATTAAATGAAAAAAAAAAAAAAAAAATAAAAATCAAAATAACTTTTGCAACATAAAATCAAAATTTAATTTAATCAAAAGTGTAAAAGTTAGTGAATTCACTTTCTTAATTTTTTTTTTAATTCTGCTTCACCTCTTAGTTTTACTTTACAAACAATGGGCTAATAACACCAAAGTCGTGAATAAAAACAAAATAACAAACATTTTTATGATATAAAAAGACATTGGCTTCGATGTAAAAAAAAAAATTGGTCGTAAATTTAAATAAAAAGGCGGGAAAATTTCTCAAAATATTTTGAATATCCTAAAATAGCATTTTATAAACATTTGCAAAAATTTAATTTTAGTAAGTTTTTTAATATCAACCACATAGTCATTTTTAAAATTGATTTATATACATATATTAAAATTCATGGTTTTTATTACAAAGTTATGATTGTAAACATATTTTTCCTCTTAATTTTGAACAAATTTGTTTTTGCTATACTAAGCATTTCTTTTTTATTCTTAAAACAGAATTTTTCAAGCAATTAATACAGTTTTATTATTCTCATATTTAAAACAGCGGAGCACATCTTTTTTCATATCATGTTTTGGGATTTTTACAAAAATCATTCTTCAAAAAATTTAACATTTTGTAGAATAAAATTGATAAAACGAATAAACATTATTTTATTACATTCACTAAAGTATTTGATGTGTTGAAAAATAGTGAAAAATGAACCTCCGATAATTATTCAAAACAGGTTTTCCTATTATTTAATTACAAAAGTACTTTTATAATTAAATAATAGTATCCTATCATTTAAATATAAATAAATTAATCATTATTTAAATATAAAAAATGCGTACGATTTTATAGTGGCACTTTTTTAATATGTTTATTATAAATATGAAACTACTAATATAAATGTGTATATGATACAAATATAGTAATATATTATGCAAATATAATAATTTAAATGAAATTACTAATATATATATGTATTCTGGTTAACATAGGGATTATTCCAATTTCAGGAAACAAATGTTTAATCTTTGCAATTGTTTTTCGATTCATATAGATAAGAAGACAGTAATATTTAATGAAAGGAATCTACAAAGAATTAGTTACTGAATAACTGAAGTAAAATTTAATGCATTTCTCATATGGGAATATGAGAAAAAATTTTTGCTAAACAATTTTATAATACATTTTTTTTTAAAACAATTTTATAATTGTGAACATTAAAATTATTAAAACTTATGAATTCTTGTAATTATACTCAAATTAATAACGAAAAAATTAATTTTTAGAATATGAAATCGTATTTGAACGTATTGAAGTCATAACAAAATCATTACTCAGAAAAAATCCTTTAATACGTTTATTAAAAAAATATATACATACATATGCATAAATTTTCTGAAGATTAGATTAGAAATTTTCAAAAATTGAAAAAAAACTAATTTGGAAAAAATAAAACTTATATAATAAAAAAAGAACCAATTTTATATTATATTTAAGTTTTTTGTAATATTTTATCGGTCTTTTTGAGTAATTTTTAAAAGAATTATTGAATAAAAACCATTTTATTATACTAGATTTTAAATATACATTTTAAATGTTTTTTTTTCCTACTTTGTTATAAAATCAATGTTGTATTATTTCAATAAATTACCACTTTTTTGTATTGAATTTTTATTTAATTTTTTTTTTTTATTTATCTACTACGCAACTGCCGCCGTAGTATTTGTAATGGAGGTTGCAAGATTTCGATTGGCATTTTCGTTACTATTACTATTGCCACTAGAATTGTTATTAGAACTACTAGAACTACTGCTATTACTACTGCTATTGTTATTATTACTACTATTATTAAATTTTTCAATATTATTTGTATTATTAATTGTTGTTGTTATTGATGGTGACGTTGATGTCGACATTGTTGAGGATGAGTCTGCTAAATTTAATTCTTTACTATTTTGTGTCGCATCTTTAAGTGTTGAAATTTCTGCTGAAGCAATTGAAGAAACTGCATTAATGTCTGAAGGTGGAATGCACCCAACAGTTGCACTGCTTGAATCTGAGCTTGACTCATCACCTGCTGTGGATGTACCTGTTTCTAATGATGATTCTGTGGTTATTTCAGCTATTTCAGTTTTCATACTATTTTTGATTTCAGTTTTTACTTCGCCACAATCTTTGACATCGGGTATTTCATCCTTAAAATCTGCCTGATCTTTAAAACTCGATGTTGAAGTTTTATGATTTGACACCGAGTCTTTGATATCCATATTAGATAACACTTCATTTTCAGACGTAACTGCCGAATTCACGTTTGCATCAGAGCTATTGCCATTTTCATTTTCTACTTCGTCTTCATTTGGCGCAAGATCTGAATTTTTTTGTTCATTTACTACTTTCTTACTTGAATTATTCAGTGATAATAATGATGGATCATTGCTATTATTGTTATTATCATTGTTATTAATATTACTATTTTCATTATTGTTATTATTATTATTATTACTATTATTATTATTATTATTATTATTATTATTATTATTATTATTATTATTATTATTATTATTATTACTATTATTATTATTATTATTATTAATATTATTATTATTATTGTTATTATTATTATTACTATTGCTAATATTACTATTGTTATTATTAAAATTACTCATATTATAGTTATTAATATTCATCAATTTCTCATTCCGATAATTATTAATAGTTTGTAAATTAAGAGCGCACCTTTCGGCTGCACTATTTATATGTTTCTGTTTTTGTAATAGTTTTTCACTAGATGACGCTGTTCCACTGCCACTTCCACCACCACATCCACGTGAAACTTGGAATAAAACTTTTGATATAATTAATGCGACTTGTTGATCTAAAATGTGGCTCATCACAAGACCTAATAATCGTTGCTCTTGTTGCATAAACAATGGCCTATTATCTGGATGTTTTGCTAAATGTAATAGTGTGCCAGCTGCACGACGCAACATATCTAAACTAGTACCCATTGAATCGGGATTTTCTCTTAAATAATTAATACCATTTTGGTTAGCTACGCCCAGTGCGGTTTGTTCTGCCTGTTCAATAAACGCTACTAAATACGAAATACATGGGCTTTGTAGCGCAACTGTGCGTGACATTGCACTATCAGCAGCTGCTAAATAATGTAATAAGTTTACTGAAAACTCTCGTAATACTTGATCTTCATTACGACATAAGTGTCTTGTTAACACAGAACATAATTTTTCCAAACGTGAGAATGGTGGTGTTGCAATTACCAAATCGACGTTTGCATCTGTAACACATAGTTTGCACAACGCTTCTAGTGCTAATCGTTGAGGAGATAAATTTGAATTTGGACCACATGATGGGAACGGATCCTGTCCATGAGCCGATGGACACACGGCCCAATGCAACAAACCATCCAAAATTGGCCTTGTAATTATTTCTTCATATTTAGAAAGCTCTAAATGCCCCGCTATATTTGCAATTGCAACTAACATATTTTCTCGAATTTGTATCAAATACTCCCACCACCACTCTTTTTCACCTTGCAAGGAACTACATGAATCACCAAAATCTGTATCTTCTTCGCGATCATAATTTCGATTCTTATGCGTCCGAAGAACATGTTCATGATTTAATAGTAACAAATTGCCAAGTAATGCTAAAAACGATGGTGAACGTGCTAATATAACTTCATTACCAGGAACAAATGTTAGATTTCGAAATATGTTTGATAAACAAATACAACGTCGAGCTAAAGCATCTTGACTATCTTTAACTAAATATAAACTAGACTCGTCTCTTGTATAACATTCATCTTCATAATCACTTAATCGTCGTCGCTTTAAAATCGTTGCCGGATCCTTAACTGTTGTTTTTGGATCAAATGATTTCTTCTCACTACTAGTACTACCATTTTTTTGTTCATACGTTTTAGATGTGTTTTTATTATCCTCTTGCTTCGTTGTTTCTTTTCTCTCATATTTTTGTTCAACAGCATCTATCGTTTCTTCTTTAATACTAACAGATTTACTAATATCATTGCTGATGTTATTATTATTATTGCTACTACTTCTTATTTTTTTATTATAATCACCAAAATCACTACATTTATCTATAGACGGTCGTTTTAAGTTCTCTTTAATGTTATTGTCAGATTTTAAGTATCGAGCAAATGGAATGTCAACAATATCGCTTTTGAATATGTCAATAATTCCTCTATGAGGAAAACGTTCTGTATAGCCGTATGTCCAAGCATCACTACAATCTGGTGTTTCCGTTTGAAAATTTTTGTTGGAATCAAAATCCCAACTCTTCGGTGAATCTGATACAAATATGTCGTTATCAGCATTTTGTATTCGAACAGGTATACCTAAAATAATTAAGCAATTCAGAAGAAGCCGATACATTTCAAATTTTCATTATAAATTAAAATATTTCAAATAAATTTACCTTTTCGGGACATTAAAGTATAATTTTGTGTTGTGTTTAATATAACGACACGATCGTCAGAATTTGGAATACTGCTAATTTGGCCAATGTCTACATAATTTTCAATATTATTATTTGCAGAACAACCCCCTTCAATTAATTTATTACATTCATATGAATCATTTTCATTCCTAAACATTTCTATTAATGCTTTCTGTAAATGTTCTAATAATAAATTTAGTAATCCTGGTAAATGCGATAAACCAAAATATTGAACAGCATGATCATCAAATAATAAAACATTTAATATATCTAAAGCCCATGTACTCTCAGCTAAAAGCCCAGATCTTAATGACATAAATATTCGCCATGGATCAACTGGACAAACATCGCTTTTAGCTAAACGTTTTCTTTTATATAAAACTGGTGTAGTTGATTCAACACTATCTGGAGGAAAAACAATTTCCCGCTTTTGAATTTGATTAGCTGCAGCAGAAGGAAAATTTTGAGGTTGTGCGTGAGGTGGCACTGGTGGACCACTCATAACTTGTTGAGATTGATGCACAGCTGATGGCATTGGTTTACCTGGTGCCACCATTTGCTGTTGAGGAGGTGGCATGCTAAATGATGGTTTCCCACTGGGTGGCGGAACGCCACTCACAACACGGTGTGATGGTCTCAACGGTGATGATGTAGCGTTAGACATAGGTAGCGGCGATGGTTGCGGCTGCGGCGGCTGTGGCTGTGGAATTTGCAATTGCTGTTGTTGTGAATTAGGACCTTGTTGGTTCCATTGTGGCATTGGAGGACCGCCAGGCGGACCTGCAGGTGCTGGTTGCGGCTGTTGTTGCGGCTGTTGCTGTTGTTGTTGTTGTTGTGGTTGCTGTTGCTGCTGCGGCGATTGCTGCTGCTGCTGTTGTTGTTGTTGTTGTTGTGGCGGTTGCTGATTTGTTTGATATGGTGACGGTTGCTGTGACGGTCCTTGTGGAGGATGATAGCGAATTGGAGGTTGCTGCGCCTGTGGTTGTGGCTGGTGATCCCATTGACTTGGAGTGCCGCTTGCAGTTTGTGGTGGTTGCTGCTGAGGCGGCTGCTGTTGTTGTGCTTGTGCTTGTTGCTGCTGCTGTTGTTGCTGAGCTGCAGATTGCAGTGGTGGACCTGCAGGTGGTCGAGGGCTATTCCATTGTTGTTGTGGTGGTGCCTGCTGTGAAGGATATTGATTCCTATATTGTTGCGGACTTCCTTGCCAACCTCCTAAAAAGTTGATAGAAATTTAGGTGATAATTTTAAAAAGTATTAATTTGTTAAAAATAACATATTAAAACGAAAATATTATAAAGCTTCACAAACTTACCATACATTGGAGGCCTTTGTACATATCCCGGATAAGGTTGAGCATCTTTTACAAAATCAGGATGTCTCCTTGGCTGATTCTAAAGTTTAAGATTTCATAGAAAAATTTTTTTAATTTTAAATTAGGCAAACTATGGTTTTCAATATATTTACTTGTTCAGCTTGCTGTCTATAGTAGTCTTGAGATGGAGGCTGAGTGGAATAAGTTGTAGCTGCTGGAGGATTAACTGTATTGGTTGCTGATGTAGTTGATGTCTGTGTGTTACTTACAGGAGGTTGATTATAAGGTCTAGGTCCATAGGGTGTGAAAGCATTTGGCGTTGTACCGCTTCTGAAAAAGTGTATTTTAAATTTTAATGAAAGCTATCACACTATTAAAGTCATATAATATTATTTTATAGTAGAAATTGATTAATCAAATTCGTTATTTTACAAGAAACATGTTTTTTATTTAAACTCACGCATCAGTTTCGGGGCCATATGGCGCGAACATATTTCGATTGGGTGGCGGAAATTGGTTTTGAGTTTGAGGATACTGATTAGGTGGTCCACCGGCATATTGCTCTGGGGTACCATATTGATTGAAATTTGGCTGAGGTTGATATGGAGCACCTGAAACAAATCCAAATTAATAACTAATCGCTTACAAAAATTTATTACATATATTGAGTTTATTTCTTAATTTTGTGTTTTATTTAGTGCAAAAATTAGTTTATTACCAGGATGTGATGTCTGTGCGTTGTTTTGTGACGGTGGTCGCTGTGCTGTGGCATTAAAGTCCGGTTGTGCGCTTGGTGGATAATTACTAGAGTAATTTGAATATCCATCCATCGATACGTTTCCAGAAACATTTGGTGGAAAAGAATCTTGAGAATTAGATGAACCGGCTAAAATTAATATAATTTTTTTAATAGAATTTTTTGTTTTAAAATTAAATTAAAAAATCTTTAAGAAAAATAATGTTTACAGCCATAATAATATGGCTAAGCTATATGAAACATTCCAATGAAGATTTTCTAAAGTTGCCTTTTTACTAAAATAATTTAATTATCAACAAAAATAACTTAAGATACCTGGTGATGGAACAGAAGTAGGTTTTGTCGCTTTCTTCTTTGAACCAGCTTCAACTTGCTGAATGATAGGTAATGGATCAATCCCACCTCTATCATAATGACATTCGTAGGCTAATAAATTTTTTGTATAATGTTTACGTAATGTGTACGCTGCACTGCTACTAGCTCCTATTCCTAGTAAACCTGCTATATCTTTCCAGGTTTTACTTTTTGTAACCTTTAATTGTAAATAACAAAAATTTATGTTAAAATACGATTAAACCAAATACTAATAACAATATATAAAATTAATAATGTAATTGTAATAATGTTACTCTAAGAAGTATTTTATAATTGTTATAAATAGCATTTTATTCTTTAAAAAGCATTTAATTCTTTGAAATAGCACATAATTTTTGGAATAGCATTATTCCAAGAAGTAAACATATCGCAATAAATTAAGTTTTTTATTAAGCAAGAATGTTTATATAGTCAAATCTAAAAGAATCTACTTAGAATTTGTAAGACAATTTGTTTTAAAAAAAAGAATTAAGTGCATACATTTTTGTAACATTCAAATGAAAGTAAAGCAAATTTAATCGCATTTCATTTTTTGTAAATTAAATAAGAGCCTATAGAGAATTTAAATGTACTTTTTAAAAATGATAAACTATTTTTTTGCCCGTTCAAATTTTGAGTTTAAACAGAAACTTCAATATGCACACCTAAGAGCGAATTAATAATTTGAACATAAAAATATGAACAGTAAATACAAGTATATATACGATGGACGTACTTTTTGAGTTTAATTAGTTTACAATTCTCACATTAAATTTACTTTACTAAATGAATTTTATTGCGCCAACATATTACAATTACATGTATTTTTTATAAAAATTTTTTTAATTTATCATCACAGTTCCGATCTAATTTCAAAACAAGAAAAGACGTAAATGCATATAATTTCCACAAAAATACCTTACCCTTATATTACTACTAAATATAAATATCTAAATGCGTTCATATGTGTATATATAAATACATATACACATATCATCATATGAATTACAAAACCCGTTACCAGAATAGACTTGCCAAATATAAGGAGCTCATGCATTTTGACTCAATAGGATTTACATGTATGTATATATATATATATATAAAATACATTTGTACAACTCGTGTAAGGGTATGTAAAAACATATATATATAAATACAGATGCATACATATAAATACATATTTTTTTGTTGATTCATATTAATATAAAAGGAAGGAAAAAATGCTTATAAAAGTTATTAAAAAAGTTAGTAAGAAGTTACTACGGCACCTTGCATACCTCGACGAAGCCTCCACGTTCTTTAACATATATATATAACCTATATAAATCAAGCGGCTGTTTCGATATTGTGGGGCAAGCTGTTATAGGTGTTCGTCTTTCTTCCATAAAACTTAATAATTTGTCAAGCCATGGACGTCTTTCAGGATTTTCATCCATTTCATAAAGTTTACATAGACTATCGGACTTCTAGAAGAAATTACACGATATTACAAATGTTTTGGTTTGTGGAATTTTTTTTTTACCTTGGTTGAAGTTGTCGATCTAAAACTATCTTGTGGTGGAACATGGTTAAATACCTTTGCAAAAATAAAAAAAATAAATTATTATTTAGTTCATAAATTGGAGAAAATTTTAGAATATATGCTTACAGGACTAGCTGCAGTACGTGACCAATTTCCTGGTGAATGCATTTCAAAATCTTCCCCTGCACCGGCACCTGTATGTGGCGACGCATTTGGAGGGGGCAAATGACCGTGACTATAAGGATCATTTTTTCTTGATGACTTAGGTGTTGCGCATTGTGGATCTTCTGTTGAAGCTAAAAAAAAGAGATAATATACGAATTGCAAAATAAATAAAAAAACCCTATTTAATATATTAAAATGTAAATATACCAGCAGACGTATTAGATATAGTGCTTTGTTGGCTAGCTTCGTCTAGCGGAGCACCATCGGGTCCAGTCGTAACGACAGAAGTTACAGGATGCTGTGAGCTTAACGTTGAAGAAGAACTACCACTATTATCCTGCGATACATTATTGTGTTCAGCAGCCAAAGAATTGTCTACCATATTCGATTGTTGATTTGTCGTTGGCGGAGGTGGTGGCGGACCTTGTGGTGGTCCTGGTGGAGGTGGAGTGTTTTGCGGGGCAGATGGTGGCGGGCCCATTGCGCTTGCAGGTGGTCCATGTGGTGGTCCCATGTGATGTGGAGGACCCATTGGCGGATGCATACCTCCAGAACCATTGCCGAAGCTTTGTGGTGGCGGAGTCGGACTTGGTGCACCTGCATAACCCCCTTTATGTTGCAAATGTTGTTTTAAATAGTTCAGTGGCGGACGTGGTGACCCCATTGAACTTTGTGATGGTATAGGAGAGCCCTTATTTTGATTATGATTTGGCATCATACCACTTGATGTCTGAGGTGATGAGGGAGCACCCCAACCACCTTGATTATATGGAAATGGTGGATGTGGACCGCTAACATGATTTGGCATTGGGCGCCCATATTGGTTATTTCCTTGTGGCAAATTACTCCCAGGTGCATGTTGATTTCCAGTACTTGGACCTGAAGAATAACCTCCGGTTGGATATGGCGGACGGGGTGCATAGCTTCCTACAAACAGAAAAAATTGAAAAAAAAATCAACTAAATGAAAACTACTTTTTAAAAATTTTACAACAAAAGATTAAAGCATGAATATTATTCTTCTCTTTTTGTTTTTATTTTCTTTTATACAAGCATTTGTTTTAAAAAAATTATGCTATGTTTAAATGTTGTGTTTATAAATTTTCTTCATAAAACGTTTAATAAACAAAAAATTATTGCGAATAATTCAAATAGATCAAATCAATAGATTGGGCGAGAAGGAGATATGGAGGAAACTAAAAAAGGAAAAGTTATTTTCATCGTAAAATAGGAGTAGAAATACTAAAATCGTAAAATTATCTTATCCACGAAAAAATAAGTAAGTGAACTACATTTATTATGACATAAAAACAAAGATTTTAATTCTTTTCAAGGATTTATCACCTTGTGAATATGGTTGTGATGGTGAATAAGGTGAAATGTTTTGAGGATTTGGTGGCCCACCAACTACGTTAACACCACTTCCAACATTCCCTTGACCAGAGGAATTACTGCTGTTAGAACTCATTTTGAAACCACCATGCATATGAGATACATTTTGTGGAGGTGGAGGCGGTGATTGATAAACACTTTGCTGCTGCTGGGTTGACATTGTCCCACTTGGTGTTAAAATTGATGTTGGCGCCTGAGAGTGTGATGATACTATTTGTTGTTGCTGTGACTGCGTTAATGATGTTTGTGTAGAAATAAGTGGGGCCCGGCTTATTATAGGGCCAGTCATAGATTCAGATATTTGAGGTACGGTTTGCTGTTGTGATTGTTGTTGGTTTTGTGAATGTACATTTGATATTTGATGTTGTTGTAATTGCTGTTGATGTTGCTGTAACGTTGTGGGACTATTTCCAATACCAACTCCTCCACCACCTCCTAGTACATTTCCACTTAAATGAGAAGACATTAAGCTAATAGGTGAGGGATTTAATTGATTAGCGATAGGTCCCCTTGATGAAACTGGAATGTTTTGTTGTCCTGTTAATTTAATGTTTTTTGTATAATTTTTACTAAGTTATAGCAATTATATTGCAAGTATATTCATATATTGCCAATTTTGCTTTGTGTTAAACGAAAATATTTTTATTAATACTTTCTCAAGATTTTATTAAATTATTATTTACAGTGAAATAATACTTTTAAGTTTTACAACACATTAATTAGTTATTTTTCATTAAAATCAATTTTAATTAAGACCTAAATTAATTTTAAAGAACTCAATTCTTATAATGGTCAGGAAATATTTTCATATTATAAATTAATTTGTATATTCTTGAAAATACTGCACAGCATATATATATATATATATATATATATGTATATCATATATTAATGTGTTGCAAAAAAGATTACAATTTTGATATCTCATAATTAACATTTTTTTATCTTTAAATAAGTATTTTATAAACAAAAATTCTAAACATTAGTGATCTACATGCAATTAAAACAAATTTACTTTTAAATTTTTATTTAAAAACATGCAAAATAAAATTAGTAAAAATTTTGTGACAGCAATTTGGATTTTTTGTATCGTTTTTTTTTAAATTTACATAATTTTAACAGTTTTTGTAATTTGAATTTAAATATTTTAAATCTTAAGCAAATCTCAGTCATCAAGTTTAAATTTTAGAATTCATATGAAAAAATAAATAGTTTATAAATTTAAAAGATTATTTCTTTAATTCCCTTGCTGCACTTTGCAATCAAAAAACACTTTTATATATTCAAAGTACTTGTGTAAGACATTAACAAAATATTTTTTTAAAATCTTGACAGTACTTAGTTTTATATAATATCAAATATTTTAATCTTTAAATTTTGCCTTGCTCATAGAATTTACTTTTATTACAAAACTTCTTTAAATTTATGCCGAAATATTGATTTATAGCAGTCTCATCGTAGACTTTATCAAAGAATTTTACGTAAATTGCAAAAATTTTAATGTGAAAACTGAGAAATAAATTTATTAAAGCGAATACTTTTTTGCCAAAAATAATAAAAACAAAAGAGAAAGTGAAAATATAATTATAAAAGCAAAGTCAATCATGCTTAATCTTCAAAGAACTTTAGTTAAGGAAAAAATATTATTGTTTTAAAGATTTTTTTCTTACCAACTGCTGGAGACATTGACCGTGAGCCGGATGACCCAGTAGGTGATGGAGTTGGTCTCATTGCAGATTGTGCATTATTACTATTTCCGCCACCGCTTGAGCTGTCATTACTATTTTGACCAACCATTTCCTAAAAGCATAAAAATATATCAATTTATGAAAACATAACAACATGTATATTATATATAAATTTAGTACTATTCTTAATAACATATATATATATATATGGACGTATATGAATATATTTATTTATCACTTATACAATCAATTAAAAATAATTTTTATCGACACAATTACAGTATGCATATTAATGCTTCCCCATTTTTGCTATTGTCTTTTCTTGCGGTATGAGTTACAACATATATTTCAATATGTTATGATGTACTTCTCAAAATGAAAATATTATTAGTTTTTACCTGATGAGGAGATGAAGAAGCTTGTGGAGGCTGAGGAGATGCACACGGAACATGTCCTGGACTACTCGGTGGTGGTATAGAACTATGTTGCACTTGATGTGGGGATGGTGGTGCATTAGGATGACCTGTGGGCCCTGGGCTGACAGCTGGTGATGAATTACTAGGACCAGTCCACGAACGACTACTGTCGGAATACTAAAATGTGATACCAGAAACAGGCAAATATTAGTAACAATTAAAGGTATTAATTCAGTTTAATTTAGGTTTTCTATTTTTACCTGTGCTGAATATTGGGATCTATGATTAGGTCCTGCTGCACCAGGTGGTGTGGAATATCGTGGTGGATAAGGTGCAGCATATTGAGAAGAAACTGGCCCCTGTGAAGGCGGATGAGAAAGACTTTGTTGAGGTGATGGTGGATATGAACCACTAGCTTGAGATGGCGGAACAGGATATCCCGATTGACCACGTCCAGCATTTCCCTAAAATGTTAATTTTAATTGAAATAATATTAGCACAATAATGAAATTTTTATGCATTTCAACAAACAGGTAAAAAAAAATGTTATATTACCGGTGATGGAGTTCTATATGATTGTCCCATTTGGGGGCTGTACGGCCTAGGTTGATGACTCCAACCTTGTGGTCCATATTGTTGTGGCTGCCCAGACGGTCCTCCAGGTTGTGGTTGTCCTTCATAATTATTAGGATAACGTTGTTGGCCCGGTGGTGGATGTGATTGTAATAACGAGTTTAGAGTTGGTGTAGGACCTTGTATTTGTTGACCAGGCACGTATCTTTGTGGAGGCCTATTCGGTGACATAATACTACTTGGTTTTCCAGGTAATATCGGAGTATGAGCATATCTATATTGTTCTGGATTGTTTGGATCACCTCCTTGATGATATCTACTATAACTAGCGTGGCCATATGGGTCTATATCTTTTTGTTCACCAACAGGATTGTGATGACTTCCACCCCCTGGGGGTTGCGGCATACCGTAATGTGAAGGGGGTGGAATTCCACCTGGAATTTCTCCACCCCCATATATACTATGTTGAGATTCACTACCGTTATTTGAAATTATATTACTACTGCCGGGCGGTCCACCACTTACAGGTACACCTCCCGGATTATTTTGTTGATTTGGTGATTTAGACGCAGAAAATTTTTCACTCATATTTGATGAATTTTGTTGTGAAGTTTGTTGCTGTGCTGTTTGTTGTTGTGGATGCATTTGGCGAGTATTTTGCATTTGTGAATGTGTCTGTTGATGCAATTGTGGTTGATTACATTGTTGTTGTCCGGATCCGTGTCCAGGTTGTTTCGTGATATCTGTTCCGTTTTGTATTGTGTTACTATTATTAACATTATTTTTATTTGAATCTTCCGAATTTATGTTATTCACTTCACTTACATTTTCTGTTTGCTGCTGTGCCATTATTTTTTAACCATCCAAAAAAAAAGTTATTTTTTGTTGTTTATTTTATATGAAAAATAGTTTCTTTTTTAGACACAGAAAATTACAACTTTAATGTCAGTTTGGAACTGTTATATTCATATACACTGTATGTATGTCTATATCTATACAAGTTTTTGAGAACTAATGTTTTTTTCAATTATATATCAATTATATCTAATTTTTTTTTACCAAATTTGGGTGTAGATATTTTTCAATTTTTTTATTTGCACTATTTTTTATATCCTTTTTTATATAGATGTGTTAAATATATGTAGTTATAATTAAAAAAAAGAAATATCTTATAATTTGTTATATAGCTATGTAGAGCTCGAGATTTTTTTTTTGAATAAAAAAATCAATCGATGCGGCGCAGAACAACTGCAAAACGATACATGGCGATTATGGCGAAGACAAATCCTACTACATCCAAGAGTAATATCATATTAAGTGTTTTTGTTGTTGCCTTTCATGTTCGTGTTGCTAGTGTTTTTGTTGTTGTTTTTCATATATAAAAGTTTCATTTTTTTAATTAGTCTATTTAATTTTTAAATTAATTTCCAAAAGGTAGATAGAAAAAACAATACAACTCTTATAATACTCTCATATACACAATTTTTTTATGTTTAATAAATGCTTTTTTCTTTATTAGAATCTTTTAAACTTTTAATTACTTTTTTTTTCTTTTTTTCATAGGAAACCCAATGTCTACTTGGGCAATTTGCAGTCGTTTTTATTAGATAGTGATTACACCAATGTTTCAATCTTTCATACTATTTTTATTTCGTTATTTTAATATGAATTTCTATTTTATATTTAAAAATATTAATTTTTTTTTATATTACTACATACATTTACAAATTACACTTAAATAATGAGAAAAAAAAATCCAAAATTAAAAAAGAAAATCTTTCACGTCTAAAAAAATAACGCCAACACCCGAGCCATTATGCACAGTGGCAATAATGGCGATTTTCACTTCAGAAATTTTCATTCGTATTTTTTAACACTCTTATTATACTTCACAATAAAATAATGATGAAAAATATATAATAAAACTTTTAATCAATCAATTCTTTATAAATTTCCACAATTAATAACCATTAAAATCTATTATTATTTAGTAAATTTTTATTTTATTTCAGAGTACACATTTAAAAAATGGTTCCCGGATTTTTCGTTTCGGCTTCAACATTTCTCATCTCATCTCTTTATTGTCAAACACATATGTCTTTCCTTTTCTAATTATGTGCAGAATTGACAGAAAAAGACAGATAGAAACAATAACAAATTTTCATCTACTTCATTTTCAAAAAGACTAGTACAATTCATATCACAAAAAAAGTCTTTTCTATCTTTTTTATATTTTTGTTGTTTTTAAAGCCGCGTTTTACATTCCATTAAAATTTAATTACCCTTAAGAATTTTTCTTGAGATATTATTTTATTACAATTACTTTTATTTTAGGAAAAACTATTTATCTTTTTGACTAATATAATAATTATTAAAATTACACTATATACATACATAAAAAAAAATACACATGCCTGCAAATATCTTGCTAGACACTTTTTATATACAAGTTATTTTTACACTTTCAGAATGGAACAACTACAAACCAGAATAAAATAAATTTTTAGGCCTTATTTTTAAAATTAAAAAGTCTTAATAAATTTCCTTCATTTATTAAATTAAATTTAAATTAATCCGGTGACGCGTTGAAATATTTTTCCAATTCGACAATTTAATTTCGGATATGCCAAAATGCCGAAATGAAACAAATTGTAGTACTAGTTTAACTGCAGAAATCTGTAGATTTTATAATGTGATATCGTCCGCTCTAATACAATTTTAAATATTTGCTTAGTTTGAGACAACAATCAATAATATTTTGCTTTTTAATCAAATTTTAAAAATATGAAATACATAATAATATAAGTATAGTTATAGAAAATCATCTTTTAGTTTCAAAACCAGTTTCTTTGATAACTTCTAATATTTTAATTAAAAATTTATCGTTTGAAGGAAAAACTCAATATTAAAACAGCTTTCGTTTTTCTAATTCATGTAACTCCAACTGTTGTCAAATTCTCAATACAAAAATTCCGTCGTGCAAACACTGGTAATGTTTGATGCAATAATGCATATAATATTTTATGCATGTATTGCATTAAGGTCCTTTCAAAGTTGTTAGTTACAGTTTGCGTGTACAATAAAAACCTTGATTTAATTTGAGTCTGATCAAATTTGTACATGTAAAACTTGTTTGACATCGGACTTTACCTGACGGTAAATAATAGATAGATTTATTGTACGATTTTTAAAAGTAAAATGATGTTAAGCGATTTACCTAATTTTTATTTTGGCGCAGTATCGACTGATTTGACGTTTTACTTTTACTTTATCATTAGAGTTTTTTTTTTTCAATAGCTGTTATTTACCAATCATTGGAGCTTATTCGTGAAAAATATTGAAAACGAAGAAAAAATAAAGTACAACAATACTTTTAAAATTCATTTTCATTATCTAATTTTTTTTTTGGCAAAATCGATCGATATTTAAAAAACAAAACTAGAATTACACTTCAAAATTTCACTAAATCCTAAAAAAAAATGCAATTTTGAATTTACATTTAAAAATGAATTCACATTGACAAATACTTTTTTACGTTAGGTTGAATTAAAAGATTTGACTTTTATAGCTAAAGTAAAGTTAGCTGTGGTCAAAACGCAGAAAATGAAGTTTATATCTTTATTGCAGTTCTTTTTTGACAGCTACTAGAACTACCAGCAAGTAGCAAATGAAGATTAATTTCAACTAAAAAATATACGTCAAGAATTTTTTTTCAAAGATTAGAGTACATAAAGTAACGTATTTCATTACTCATTATATTTTATGTCAAGCAAGTCAATTTTTGTAAATATATATTTTGAATTGTGCACATCAGAATAATAAGTTTTTAAAAATAATGCTTGTGAAAACCTATACCTACAGACGCCCATACGGGTACCAAAAAAAAATATTTTGCTGATTTAAAAGTACGATACCAAAATAGCAGTGCCACGACCTTCAATTTTAAATTTCAATTCAAAAACATCCGATGATTTTATTAAAAAATTATTTTCATTGTTTACGAACCTTTTTACAAACATCAATCACCGTTTGACAACAACTACTGTATACTGTCACGCCATTCCAGATGTTAAGAGATAATAGGGCATTTTTGACAGCCCCGATGATTTAGTGATAAGTTCTAAATTTGAATTGTATCTATGCGAAATATGAATAAAAATACTATTCGTGATTTTTGTATGATCTAATGAAAAATATGATTGGTTCAAAAATGATATTAGAGAAAATCATATAATTATGATAAACTTTTAATGATAGTTAAAAACAAATATATTTTTTATATTTACTTTAATACTTGTTGCTGACTATTTTGATTTGATTCGTAATTTTTTAACATAGTCCATTTAAGATAAGTTCGTGTTAGTAATTATTTTGACATGTTTTTTTTTTTTTTTTTTTTTTTCAACTATAAAAAAATCGAGTGTATTATTTTTTATAGTAGAATTTTACATATATTTACAGGCCTAGTAACGTCAAGATGCTTAAATTTTTGTTAACTGCTAGAATTGCTTCTTTTTCTATTTTATTTTTGAGATTCAAATGATGTTGGTAAATGAAATCGCATAAGACTTGGCCCACTTAAGTTTTTGCTGTCAAATTGATGTTTTAAGAAAATACCAGACAGAAACTTCATTTCGTGAGTTTCAAATAAATCTATTACATTTTTCAATGTTTTTATTATAGTTGATTTGAAATGTAAATTAAATTTTATAATTTGTATTCCTCCCATAATTTAAAGAGAGTGAATCTGAATAGTAAAGTAAAGCAAGTTGAAAGTTATACAGCAAATATAAATTATAATTTATGATTTTTTTTTATATTTTTGCATCCTTATAATATTTTTAGTTGAAATATGAGCACATATTCTTGTGTTTTGTTTTAAAGTAAAAAGAAAAATTGCTTGTGTAAAATTGTATTTCGAAAAGTGAGATTTTTTAAATAAAAAATTAAATTAGTAATTTGTAAAAATAAGAAAGTTTATAGATATATATGTATATCAATGAGAAAACTTGTTGATAAATTAAAAAGAAAAAATTAATTGTTTTATAAATAAAGGTAAGAAAGTAGTGTTGGACTGGGTAATTAGTTCATATTTTCATTCAACTTTTATTATTAATTAAAGAGAAAGAAGAAAAGAATATTAGTAGATTAACATATTTATGTATGTATGTTCAGGTACCTCTGCCTTCCATCATCAAAATTGCATTAAGTATATTAAAAATTTTATTTTATTTTATTAAAGAAGGCTATTGCTTATATTATGTACAAAAAAAATAAATGTGCGATTGATAAATGACTAATATTGACATTTCCGTAAATTGTGAAGAAGGTCAACGTAAAAAATTTTCTTTTAAAAATTTATAGAACGCGAAGTAAAGTTGATTTTTCTTATTTTGGTTATTCAAGAAATTTTTTTTTTTTGTTGTACAATACATTAAGTATATTGAGCGTGTATTTTACTAATGTTCGTAATTTTACTTTTTGCAAACTAATTATAATAAGAATCCAAACAAAAAAATACAAAATATCTAGTAGAAAAACTAACAAAACAAAAAGTTGGTAAAAACAAGCGTTTATTTTTTTACATGCTGAATTATAAAGTATATTATTATATATTATGTTGGTACATATATATATCTACATACATATATAGATTAAATATCTGATAATATGTAAATACAAATATGCTTACATATTGTGTTTCTTTTTGTTTTGATTTCTATTTTACGTAAAAAATACTTTTTAAATAGATCAACATTTCTTAAATCTATAAAATGTATTTTAATTCTTTTTTCATTTTTAATTTGAATAGGTACCAGATTTGTTATCTTGTTTGTACGTACAATTTCTAACTACTAAAATCAGAAAATTTTTTTAATAAAATTACTGAGTTACGCAAATAAAAAAAAACGACATAAACTCCCCATATTTTCGCAAAAAAAAAAAGTTGTAATTTAATTGCGGTAGGTGTGATTATCAAGGCAAAATCACAAAAAAAAGTTAAATAAGTTTTTGTAAAATTCTTTATTGTTAGTTTTTTGTTTATTCCGATTGTGTTTGCAAATTTAAAAATTTTGAACACAATTTTATATTGTTAAAATGTTACATTTCAAAAAATATCTAAAAATTTCTCAGAATGAACTAGGATTTTAGAGATCTGCAGTTTATTTTAAATTAAGTAGCTTACTTACAGTTTTTTACAGAAAAATTTGGATGGCAGGTTCCTACCTACCAAACTATATTGCTAAATATAGGGGATCTTCATTTATTTTGAGTACCTACTTTTGTATTTTTTTACTTTTCAAAGCCATTCATATGAATAATTGTAAGTAGGTAGGTACTTAATACTTTTTAAGGTAACTAGTTACTAATTAATAATTACGTTACATTTTTGAAAATTTACAAAATATAATTGTTTTTTTATTAAAATATTCTAATTATTCAAAGAAAGGATTGAAGATTTATGTTTATGTACATGGTAGACCCCTACCTATCTACCTAAGTGGGTGCCTATCTAAATTCTAAAACCCGATAACAATTAACAAAATATGTTCACTTTATTCTTAATTTAAATAAATTTTCAAAAATATTTTTTTTTTAAATTATATTCTTTGTTTTATAGAAAATTGAAGAAAATGAAAGAATAAAAAAAATAGCTGTTATAGTCTAATAATTTCTCAAAGAATGAATTGATTTCTTAAGACATCCTTTTGAAATTATATAACTGAAAATAAAGACTATCAAGTTTATAATAAAAGCTTTAATAATAATGTCATCTTAAACGTGTTTTTTTTTTATCTGAATATTTTAACATTAAAAGTTCTCTAACGATGACACCATAATTGCGACAAAGTTACATATTAAAAGTATTCAGGTTTCAAATAGACTTCTTATTGTGTTGTGTATGTTTTATTGAATATTATTGTTGTTACGTACTCTTGTTGTTCATTTGATCAGTTTTTTTTTTATAATTAGAACGTAATCAACTGAAACTTATAGTAAAAAAAAAATCTGAACACTATTTCATAGTTATTTACATTCTGCTTAGAAAAAGGTTGTTTTTCTAAATAAGAAAAATGAGCGCCTAAAATAAAATTCTAAATGTAAAAAAGCTTTTAGTGTAGGGTTTTAAATAATTTTTTTTTATTGAATAAGAAAACATTTAAGTACCTGCCTAGCTCATTATGAAGGATAAAATATCTGTTGAAGAACAAAGAGAACTTAGTTTTAATAATATTTTTTACGTTTTTTTGTTTTTATTTTAGTAATGACAGTGATGGCTAAAATTCCTTCGGCTACGGAAATATCTGAAAATGCGAAGTCAGCTAGAGAATGTGCCTTAAGCGGAGACTATGATTCTGCATCAATATATTATGAGGGACTTCAAGGAATGCTTGGAAGGTATTGTATAAAAATTTAAGCAAATTTTATAATATTTCCTTTCTCATTCCTATTCTTCGTGCAAAAACAATATTATTGACAATAATAAATTTAATGACAATTGTAATATTAAATAATGTTGTTTTACACTTGATTTCTTCTTACTTTTTATACGTATATTTGTATTGATCTTATATCGATGTATAAAAACAAAATAAATCACTAGCGTTTTAGCTTTATAACTTGTGTAATTTAATCTGGGTTAATTACATTTAAGTTTAATTTAAGTACTATTTTTTTAATATTATATAAAATGTCTCAATATAAATAAATCCATAACTAGTTGCATGATCCATAACACTATTTGGATATTATTTTATAATTCTGTTAGAATATTTCATAATTACTTTATAAAATTTGATACGCGAAACTTAATGTAATATATACAGTGTTTCTAATTATTGATAAATATTTATACAAAAAATTTTTATATGTACATGACTTTTTAGAATTGTTTCATCAATCAATGATCCAATGCGTAAAGGAAAATGGACTATGATTCAGCAAGAAATTTCTAAAGAATATGAAAAAATGAAAGCAATACAAAGATTGCTAGTTGAAATGACAATGGATTTACAAAATGTACCAATTGGAATGAAAATGGTGCGTCAGCATACTAGAGAAATTGAAAGAAATATGAATGATGCATCTTGGTTTCAACCAGATCCAGACATCTGGACTCCACCCCCAAAAGATCCAGACGTTTGGGGACCCCCTAGACCAGAAAAGTAATATTTTTAAAATATATATTTATTTAAATATTTTAAAGTTTCCATTTTTTAGGTCAAATCTTAATCGAAATCTTAAAGGTGGACATTTAAATAATAAAAAAGTAGATAAAAAGAATGCAGTTGCAGTCAAACCAATAAGTAGGAAACCAATTGGAGTCAAAGTAGCTCCAAACAATAATAAAAATCAAACAACAAAAGAAAGAAAAATCAGCACTATAAACTTACCTGGAGATGGAAATACTGCGAATAAGGATAAAACAGAGGAGGAAACAAAACCTGATGAAGAAATTACTGATGAAGAAAAACGTTTTGAGCCGAATAATCATATTGAAGCAGAATTAGTAGATATTTTAGGTAAAATATTGAAAACTCTCTTGATATACGTACATATCATATAATATGTATATAATTTTGTGTAAGTAATTACTAAAACCATCGCGAGCACATTTTTTTATTATGAATTTAGAGTCATACATATTCCAAGTAAGGCCATTGAAAAAAACACTTTTTTTTTTTATTTTGAGTTAGTCATATTTTATGGCTTTTAAAATATAATGTGATTGATTAAATTGAGAGTGGACGCAAAAAAATATAAAATTTTATCGATGAACAAAATCGCCTTTGATAAAGTGCGTACGTAGCGCAAGAAATGTACATATTTTACCTATACTTATTCAAATATTAAAGAAGTTTCCGCTTGGTTAATACCATCAAAATTGTGATAAGATAATAGAAAATTAATAAATATGCTAGAGATATGCAATCAGAAACTTAACTGATAAAAAAGATAGAAGATAATAAACTTTAAAAATTCATTTATGTTTACAATATTTTTTTGTTAATGATTATTATCTGTTTTTTTTTCACTAAGAACGAGATATACTACAGAAGAATCCTAATATACATTGGGATGATATTGCTGACTTACATGATGCCAAACGTTTACTAGAAGAAGCAGTTGTATTACCAATGTGGATGCCAGATTATTTTAAAGGAATCAGAAGACCTTGGAAAGGTGTACTTATGGTATATTAAGATTACAAATTTTATTTTGTTTATTCATAAATATAGCATTCTTATATGTTCAGGTGGGCCCACCAGGAACTGGTAAAACAATGCTGGCTAAGGCTGTGGCAACCGAATGTGGAACTACATTTTTTAATGTTTCATCATCGACGTTAACATCGAAATATCGCGGGGAATCAGAAAAAATGGTTCGACTGTTGTTTGAAATGGCAAGATTTTATGCCCCAAGTACAATATTTATTGATGAAATTGATTCACTTTGCTCAAGACGTGGTTCTGAATCAGAGCATGAAGCTTCAAGGCGAGTTAAATCAGAATTGCTAGTTCAAATGGATGGTGTTGGTAGTGAAGAAGCCGCGAAAGTTGTAATGGTTTTAGCCGCAACAAATTTTCCATGTAAAAGCAATTTAATTTTTTTTTTCAATATTAATTTTATTGTAATAAAATTATAATCATTTTAGGGGACATTGACGAGGCTCTCAGACGTCGATTAGAAAAAAGGATATATATACCTTTGCCAAATGATGAAGGTCGCGAGGCTTTATTAAAAATTAACTTGAGAGAGGTTAAATTAGATCCTAGCGTTAATTTAAAAACAATAGCGAAAAAGTTAGATGGATATTCGGTAAATATATTTTTTAAATTATATTTTTATTAATAATTGAATTTACATTTTAAAATTATTTATTTTAAACTTTGAAGGGAGCAGATATTACGAATGTGTGTCGTGATGCTAGTATGATGTCAATGCGTAGAAAAATCGCTGGTCTTAAACCAGAACAAATAAAGCAATTAGCTAAAGAAGAAATTGATTTACCAGTTTCAACACAAGATTTTTTGGAGGCAATTGCAAAGTGCAATAAAAGTGTTTCAAGACAAGACTTGGAAAAATACGAAAAGTGGATGAGAGAATTTGGATCGTCTTGATAATACCTAAATTCAAAAAAAAAAGACAAAATAAAAATGCATATCTCAATTATCTCATTTATTAATTTTATGAATAAATTTAAAAACACCGTACTTAATAATGTAATTTTAAAATAAATAATTTTGTTAAATTAAAAAATTAAAAAAAAAATTATTCACCTTAAATTATTTATATACATTATAGCATATTGTTATTAATATCTACACTAACTAAAAATAAAACTAAACAAATAAAATAAGGTTATTATAATTGAAGAAAGTTTTATTTTTTGTTTGCCGCAGTAATATAACTTTATTTTAATTTTCTTATTGGAAGATTTCCTTAGTTAAATACATACATATACTAAGTTACAAATCCACCTGTATATAAGAAAGGAACTACTTTTTAAAGAATAATGTAGAAATGAAGGAAAAAGAAGAAACTGATTTTTGTCCCAATTTAACTGCAGCGTACTCATATTCTTGTGCTATGCCCTCATTAATACGTTATGTACCTAATTGTATAAGAAAATAAAAATATCTAATATTGCCTATACGTTTTTTTTGTAGCAAAATTAAAAATACAAAAACGAAATTTTGTTTAAGATGGTATGAAACGATATCTAGCAAATTCTATTTTAAGTGGTCATCGTACAGTATGAACGAAAGTGTTTTCAAAATACACAATACATATGCATGTAAAAACAATATTGAATTAAAAAATTTTTTCCAAAATAACAAATATTTGCAGAATATTTCAAAATGCATTCAATGAAAAGTGTAATTAAACTGTAAGTAAATTTTTAAATTTACATTTTCATACTTATCTTAAGAATTATGACATTGTATTATTTATAAAGCTTAAATTATGTTAATTTTTGTACAAAAAAATGATGTAGTAATTGCATAGTTTTACAATTTAAAAGCGCCTGTTTTTCCTTCCTATAGGTATTCACAATATTCAAGAACGATTTTAATATTGTTAAAATATTTAATATTTTGAACTAATTTTTTTAACAACAAAGGAAAGCAAATGTCAAATAATTCAACCTAAAAACATTCCACATAAAATCCAAAAATTGTTTACTGGGATTATTTACTCGACCTTGATATTTTTATGGAAACTGGATGTGTTATTTTTGTTATTAGAATTTAATTGTCAGAATTTTGTACATACATAGGTGCTTTATTTCAAATTTTGTAATTAAAAAACAGTGGGGAAAAAGTTAAGTTCTCGTGACTCTTGGTATAAAAGTGTATTTTTTTTTAATTTTTTATTTCTTAAAAGAAAATTGTGTAATTTTGTTTAATAATTAATTTGTTTAATTGCAAATATTTTTATGAAATTTTCTAAAGTAAAAATAGAAAAATAATATAATCCTTTTAATAGTGAATTTTAGCCGCAACAAAAATAAAGTACAGAAATAAGGATTATTGATAGGCAGTAATAAAATATTTTTGAATAAAAAGTACCTTATTTGTTTTTTGTATTAATCCTTTTCTGTTTCATTTAAATTCGAAATGTGTTTAAATTACTTCTGACATAGAATTCATTTTGAGGGGTAAGTACATATTTATGTATAAGAATTAAATTTTTTTTCTGTTTGTAAAAATAATAATTTTTTTAATTTATTTTTTAACCGCACGGGCTATTTTTATTGTAGCAATAAAGCCATAATATCTTTAAGATTGAAGACAGTTCATTTTCTGCTTTGCATCCTTATACTTTATGAAATAAATAAATATGTACAACTACAAAACGTCGATTTTAGGTTGAAATATTTAATATATTTTCTTATGTATGTAAATAATTGGTATATTACAGTCGCATTTGCAAGTTCTTGATCTTGACTTTAACTTTCAAATTAATAATAAAAAATTGATTGCCTACGCATTGCTAGTTTTTTTACTATAAATTGCTTAATAATTTTTTTTGTGTCAATTGGTACTTAATAATGTAGGTTTACTCATTTGCCGATACATGTATATGTGTATGTATCACATATAATGTTTGTGAGGGCAGAAAATTCTATCAATAATTTAATGATGTTAAGGATAATGGACATAATTGGCAATATTTATATTATAATAGGTTGGATTTGTTGGTGTGATGGGTTTTATTTTGACATCTTCCTGCCTGCTCCTTACCAATTGGTCTATAGTATAACAAAAAATTTTAACAACTTAGTTTAAAATTCGTTTTATTTGCCTGTTTTTGTAAGATGTTTTAAAGAATGCTTTCTTTAATTTCGCATTTTTATTTTTTTGCTGCATAATTATTTTTATATTATATATTATGCGAATACATAATGTACTTATAGCAGTGCCAATAGGCAAAATAATGTTATGTATTCAATTTGACATAGTTTTTATAGTGACTCAATTGTTTTTATACTTATATAGGTACATATGTACATATATATTGCCTTTTAATATATGTACAGTATTTTGTGTATAAAACTAATTAGTAATTTAATTAAGTAATTTAAATAAAACCTGTTTAATTAAGTAATTTCAAAGCTTAATTTTATTTAGTCGATGATTACTTAAAATAAATTTTTTTCATATGATAATTTTCCTTTTAACTCTTTTTTGAGTAAATACCTATGTAAAATAATTAAAGTTAGGTTTTGTACTAAAACTAAAATTTTTATTTCTTATTTATTATTTTTTTCTGATATCCTTTAATTTGAAATATTTTTCGATGAATTGAAAATTCTGTTATACAAACATAATACGAGTATGTATTTCTTTAATCAATTAAATTGTATTAATATTGGTTTGTTAATTAAGACATGAGAAAAATATTAACACTACTTACATATTATGTATGTGGCTACGTAGCTCAATTCAATAAAAAATTATTCTCTATTAACTTTGAAATGTTGTTCATTAATGGAGAATTTACTTTGTCGCTATAGAATTCCGGCACTTTTCCAGGACGTCATTTGCCAACAATAATTACTTATGTATTTTTAAGAGCTATGATTCCCAATGCTGTTTGACACTAACGCAAGGAATTCATTTACAACTACCTTAGTGAGAAAAATTTTAAAAAATAATGCTTTAACTGCGATGACTTTCATTTGAAAACAAAAGTAGTTGAAATGGTCGTCATACGAGTATTAATGACGTTCTGTAGTTTTCATTAATTTGCGACTATGAAATTTTTATTATTACGTTCATACATCGAACTTAATTTCTTCCAAATTGCTAAAATAATGTCAACATACTTAAAAATGCTGAAATTTAGCATTTCAACACCTTCATGACTTGCAGATTTTATTTATTAAGTAAGTAGGTATTTATTGCATATTTAGATTGAAGACATCGTTATTATGTTAAAATTTTATATCATATTTTAATTTTTTTGTATTCTTCAAATGTTATACCTACATATTTTTATTTTAGAAATTTTTATTTTCATACTTATTATGTACACATATAAGTAAACATATACGTTATTTAATGTTAATTATTTCTTAAAGCAAACATAGATTGTAATTGCATTTATTCTGCTCGTAATCAAAACCAAGAACGGCTGCGTTTTCATACTATTTTTATGTTAAAAATTTTTACTTCAAAACATTGCATAGTTCTAGGTATAAATTTGCATTATGTTTTGCGAATTCATGAGTGAAAGAATTGTGATTGTATCAAACAACTACAATCTTAAAAATTTGAATAAAATAACTTAGTTAAAGCTAATTACAATTTTTTTTATAAACTTTCATTAGCAAATTTAAAGGAAGAAACATAATCTGTTGCAATCAATATTTTTTTATTACATTTTTATGACTGAAATTATTGCGATATTGATATGATAAACAAAATACATCCTGTATTCTCTTCCATTTCAATTAATTTTAATATCATTATATTACACATTTGCACTTTTTCAAATTGATTTTGTTATTTCATCATTTAGAGAAAAAAATAATTCGAGCCATGTTTCAAAGTGGAATTGGTCAACAATTGATGTCACGCTTTTAATCTTTCATTTGTCGCCGAGATTATGTGATTTTATGCTTCTAATATTGCTGTATCATTCCACCAAGATATACAAATATGAATACGTGCACTAATTTATTTTGAAAATAAAATAGGTACGATTTTTAATTAAAAATGCCTCAAAAAAAAAACTATTAGTTTGTACGCAGTAAATAAATAATTATGATATTAAATGCGATTATGACTCTTTAACAAGTTTTTTTTTAAGTAGCACCTTGCTCCTATGTTTAACCTATTTATCTCACTGTACATAAAAATCTTTTCCGTTTTGTAAATACTATTTATGCATACGTACATATGTATGTAGTTTTAAAACTAATAAAAAAAATTATAAATAAGAAATATTATTATTAAATATAACCATAATTTAATGAATGTTATCAAAACTTCAAATACAATTCGAAATAAGGAAAAAAAAACTGAAAAGAATAATAATAATTGTAAAATAAAATAATAAGCTAAAGCCATTGTTAAGAAATCAGAGAAAAAGAAAAAAAAAATTTAAGAGCAGTCATAATAATAACAACAGTAACAACAAAAAAAAAAGAGAATAATAAAATAAAACGAATAATCTACAAATCTACAATTCGACATACATATAATAATATTTTAATATATAGATGACAAACACAAAAATATTATAACAAGTCAGTTAGTAGCTTAATATTATCAGAAGAGCATATTATATTTGAAAGCAAAGTGCGTTCATAAACGTGTGTACATTTTACAAGAATTTATACAATAAGTATAATTTAAGTATAATATTGAGCAAAACCGATATTTAATAAGAATTTTTACTTAAGAAGCTTCCATTAAGTTCGGGAAGCAAAATAACAAAGTAGTAACGAATAATATAAACAACAAGAAAGAACTATAATAAAACATAAAAAAAATAAAATAAAACAAGAAATTAAAATTAATAAGTTCTCTCTCATTTAGTTCTTTTTTTTTTTTATATTTTAAAAGCTTCAGCATAAAAACGCGGTGGTTTCTTTTAAAAAAGCGAGCGTGAAATAAATTTTTTTTTAATTATTAATTAGCATTTAAATTAAATATTCAGAAAAAAAAAAATTTTTTTTTTGTTAAAATATCTAGTGTATTATTTTGCTTCATCACAAGATTAATCAGAAAAGTGTAAAAACAGTAGTGTTAATGAAAAAAGAGAAAAAAAATTATCAGTTTTTAATTTTTTATTAATAAAATTCACAATTATATAAAAATATATTCTTTTCACATTAAAAATTTTAAAATTTATCTATTATTAAAATAAAAAAAATTTAATTATTTTTAAAATTTATCTAAAGAATGCATTTATTAATAATTTAACATATTTTAGAGTTTAAATGTTCTAAATTAAAAAATCAAAAAAAAAAATTTAAAGCTTGAGTACAGCTACATATTGTTTTTTTCTTTTCTAAAAAAAATTTAAAAATAATTTCTAATTCCTATACACTAATTTGGATAACTAAATTATTGGAATTTTTGAGATTTATTTTTTAATTAACTAACATCAAAATGGTAATTATATACATAGATTTTTTAAAATATTTATTTTTTTTTTGCCAACCCAGCTACTTATGTACATACTTATATATATTATTATAATAATTGCTTTGAAATTATTATTTGTAAATTAAATTTTTTTTTTATTTTTCTATTGTAGTAAGCTCGTAATACACTTGAAATTACGAAAACTTTGTGATAATAAATAAAAAAAAAAAGAAAAGAAAAATTCTTTCGAAACCAATCGCTCTCAAAAATTTCTTTGTACTAATTTGAATAACTAAATAAATCAGAAAATTTTTTGTGAATGAATAAAAGTTTAATAATATTGTGAATTGTTTACTGTAAATTGTATTGACAATTTTTGATCTTATCACACATTGACTTATCAATTTGTGTTTTATTTTTTTTTTTCTTGTGATTTTTGTTTTTTACTGAGAACAGTTATAGTTATTTAATATGTATGTAAATCTATATACATATCTTTTCTCTTGAATTCGCATACATTAGGCTCTTCGTTTCCAAAAACCAATACATTTATAATCAAATCAAACTGAGTTCATTATCACATAATTGTGTACATATGCATACATACATATAATACATACATATGTATGTATATATGCAGTTTCAGTCATTATCAGTTATTAATTGTAATTTATATATGTATGCCTATATATATGCACTTATGTATTTTTATTTTTAAATAAATGCAATAAAATATAAGTATAGTTATGATTTACATATCTTTATAGAAAATATATTTGAATGATCCATATTATTAGTAAATTATTTTATATATGTATGTATGTATATACAAATATGAATACGTGCATTAATTTATTTTGAAAATAAAATACGATTTTTAATTAAAAATGCCTCAAAAAAAAACTATTAGTTTGTACGGCAGTGAATTATTTAATCAGGTGTTTTAATTAAGGTATTTACCTTAAAATATGTTTTATTAAGTATTGGAATATTTCAGTAGTTTAATAATGGGTTTACATATAAATATATGTACGTATATCGTCGGTAAATTCAGCTATAT